CTCTCTCTCTCTCTCTCTCTCTCTCTCTCTCTCTCTCTCTCTCTCTCTCTCTCTCTCTCTCTCATCTCCGCGAGCGCACGCGGTGGACAGGTCGCGCGGGAGCGCGGGCTGAGGATTAAATAAAACACGTGCATCCCCGCGTCGTCGCCATCATGGATTCTTCTGCGACCCCTTGGATTATTGCAAAAATGCGGGACACGCGCTCGCGTATCTCGTCTCTGATTTGCCCAACAGGTTCCCATGAGATCGAGCACCCGAAGCGAAACGAAACTATAACGGCCGCCGGCAAAATGCGCGGCGCAAGTTGATCGCGCAATAAGTCGCTCTTGTGCATATTTCTTTTATCTTCAAATACAGCACTGGACGCAGATATCTCTTGATCGAAATATTATAAAAACGCACTTTCATTTACTCTCTACAACTTAGCTGCTTCGACGAATTCAATCTTGCTCCACTTGTGGTCTGTCAATATCAAGATCAGCAAAGTAAAGAAATTATCAAGGTAATAGCTTGAATAGAAGAGGGACTAAACCGAAGAACGTACGACAATCGTGACGAGACAAGAAAAGGAACTCGCACGAGCGCCAATCCCGCGAACTGATAAAAGAAATTTGCACATTTCCAGCGAAACGTTCGCTACACGAGCAACTCGTAGTGGAATAATTGCCACGGGTGCTCGGCTCGTTCCTTATTCGCGAAGTGAGACGCACGCACGAACGGCGGAGTCGGGACAAGGAGGTAGCGAAAGGAATCTCTTGATACAATCCGACTTCCTTCGCAGGTACGCGGTGTCTTCCGTAATTTGTTGGGGGAGTTAAGATCATTAATCTGCTTTCGGTAGATCATCAATAGCGCGAAAGATAGCAGCGGTGCAACGTTGTACCGGTAATGGGAGCTCTCAATAACCTCCGCGACCCTAAAACCCCTCCGAGCTGCCACCCACCCCCTTCTCCCTCCCGTTCTTTCCCACACTACGCAGAGTCGCCAGAGCCTTTTTCCCTTTTCTTCTTATTAGTACTCCATCCTCCCCCACCTCCGTTACCCTCCTCTCATTCGTTGTCGTCGACTTCTTCCTCCTCCTCTTCTTCTTTTTTGTCTTTCTCCTTCCCCCCTTTCGTCTCTCCTCCTCTCTCTTCGTTCACGCGGGTGCTATACATAGCTTTTACTTTAGAAGAAGCTCGTCCGCTAATTTGTACTCTCAGATAACCGAGCGACCCATGGAGAAAGAGAGAGAGAGAGAGAGAGAGAAAGAGAGCCTTGCACCCGCCCGTGACATCCCCGCGGAACTCTGCACGGCTCCGCCGAGATCACCTCGCAGGAAAAAATAAACCGCTTCGAGGTGCCGCGAGTAGATTAATGATCGCCGAGGACGCCGCGGCGTACCTTCACGCTGCCAGCCAATCTCGCGAGTCTCATGATCGCCGATAGGATGCTTCGACCTCCTCCGCCGGTGTAGCCATATGTTCGCGTGTTAACGAATCGCGTTAATTCCTACGAGATTACCTCGCGCCAATATCGCGCTCTACAGTGACTTTTGCCGAGCTTGATAACCGACAAATTGCCGTGTGGAGAAACGAAAAGACTTTGATGACCAAGATCAAATGATGCGTTCGTGGTCCTGCGATTTGTTTTGACGACGTAGGCAAAAGGTGACACGTAACAAAGGAAATCATATCATTTTCGTTATGTATTACCATCATAACCATAATCGTAGGATTTTAAAGAGCCAAGGATGAAGAGGGGACCCGAGAGAGTATAGAAGTATTAACTCAATGGAATTCGACGAGGAGCCTGTTTTTACGGCTTACTATTTACTAAGAGTAAACAAATAAATACGTCGGGTGCAATAAAGTGATCGTAAAAAAAGGATACCTAACGGTACGCACGCCCGACGTTTCGATGGAGCACGCGGTAACAGAAAATGACGGCTACGTTCCTCTGGCCACGACGTATGAAGCGAGCGCGAGCAACCCTTCCTGCGCGTTCTCGAGCACACGCGATCGCATGCTCGCGTCGTTCTTCTTTTTCCACCTCGAAATTAATTAACACCCGGTACGCCGTAATACGCGGCCATTAAGCAGCAGCCGTCGCTTAAGATAGCGCTTTAAGAGCTCTTCCTCCGAGAGATGGATGCCGTTATCGCGACGGAGCGGGGCAGACACAGGGCGGCGGAGGGTGAAACGGGGACTCAACCGCGCACGGACCTCCCTTCTCTTCTGTGCCACGCGGGGCGTGCGATGGTAGAAACAGACGGCGAGATAGAAACGGCTTTATTGGCTCTTTGAGAGCGTTCGCACCTCTTGACCTCGGCCTCGTAAAATCGACTCCACGAAGGAAAGCGGACGCCCGCGCGCGATGCACGCGTGCGCGAAAGTGCGCGCCGTGCAGCCGCACATGCGGCCGTAAAACCGGTGCCCCAGACCGCTGCGATTAGTACTGCATCGCGTAGATTCGGAGATGCAGCCGGCCCCGGCTCTTGACTCCTGATGCTTCTCCACTGGCACGTTCCGCATGCAATTTTAGAAATATATGTACTGAGATAACTGCTAGAATTAATAAATGTTAGAGTCAGTTAGAATTGAAACTGTTAGAATGATTAATTAACTAATTAATAACCGTTGGAATTAAATAATGTCTCGTTAGAGTGCATCAGTGCTGAAATGAAAGCATCAAGCGAGAATAAAGATAGAAAATGAGGCGATCTCTTCTCGAGATTATTTGCCATACTCAGAATTGTGATTCGAGCTTTTGTGTCGAAAAGTAGAGCCAAGTGTCAATTATCTATGAGCCTTGTGTAATGTCGATACTTCCCAGTATCTCGCGGTAACGATAGACGTGCACGGTGCAATTGCCTGCACGCCGTTACCCGCGAAGAACCCGACGATAATCAGTTTCGCGAGTTTGACCAGCTGGCGCGCCGTCCACTTCCGCCCTTCCACACTTCGTCACTAATTACACTTGACACGTGTTAAACTAATATGTACGCTCGCAGCAACCGGGAAGAGAAATAACCGCGATGAGAAGACTGTGATGCGAGTTCTCGCCTCGCGATGAACGCTCGCGTTGATTTTCTCGTTGATTTCCGTTTACGTCACGCTATCTCCCTGAGATATATCGGCACAGAGTCGTGTGTAACGGTATATTTACGTTCAGCCACAATGTATGTCCAAAAAAGTTTCTTTATAAAACTAGACTTTCGTGAACATCTCCATGGAAAATTCAAGAGAAATATCCAAAGGATTAATCGCGTTTCCACACGCCGGATATTCTGCTGATAATCGTCCGAAGACCTGAGACCTGTCGAAGTAGCAAGGAGGAAAAAGGTGGTGTACCTTTAATCGGCGACTGATCCACGAGCGGTCCACGTTCACGATCAGGAATTCGATAACCGGGAGGGGGGGGGGAGGGGGAGAGCAGACAAGCAGGACGAGAGAGGATCAGAGGAGCGAGAGCTAGAAGAAGATCACGACATACCGTGAGCACGAGGAATGTCTTCAGCTGAATTCCCCGGGGCCAAAATCACTCAAACCGATCGAACGCAGCCGCTCTCGTGGGAAAATCACTTGCCTCGCCATTTCTGGGCTTGTGATTTCAAGAGAACTGGCGAAACCCCGTTCATCGAATGCATCGATCAAACGTGTCCTATGATCTTGTTTTATAACTAATCCGTTGGTGACTTATAAGTACCATTGACAGATTGATAAAAGTGTTTGATATGATGTACGAAATTCCTTCTTGTTGTACGAAATTTCAACAAGACACACAGCCTCACGGCAATTCGTCAAATTACCAGTTGCAATTGAAGAAAAAGTACTTGAAAACTGACTTGTGGCATATAAAGTTTATTTCCAAGAAACAGAGTTGATTTCTTCGAGAAATAAGCTTTACCTGCGAAATGAATATATCCTACATATTATATCCTACAAATAAATTTTCGATATTATATCCTACAAATAAATTTTCGAGTACTTCTTTTCTCAGGGCACATCTCCTGGAAAGGCCGTGTCTGTTTCACCATAAACTTTCTAATCCGTCCACTGCGCGGCAGAAAGAAATCCGTCTCGTCTTACACATTTAGTCATTATACGACTCGATGTCCTAACGATAATCGCTTATAGCGATCGAAGAAATTGGTGACGCGCGTCAATGATATGATTCTGTTTCCTTTTGCAGCGCAACCTGCCTAATGAGCAATTCCGTGGACGATTGGGTGAGCGGCAACGCCGTCGTCTGCAACGGCATCCCGGGACTGACGAAGGAGCAACGCGAGCTCTGCCACGTGAACCCCGACGTGACCGTCGCGGCGCTCAAGGGGTTGCAACTGGCCGTATCCGAGTGCCAGCATCAGTTCATGTGGCACAGGTGGAATTGCTCGTCCCTCACGCCCAGCAGCAGGACCCAGCAGAGTAGCGTTCTCCTTCAACGAGGTATACTGAAGCGGCACACCGCGAGAATACGTAACACTTAACGAGCGAGATTATCTGATCAGATCCGACGACCCGTGATTAATAATCCGCCGGCTCGCTAATGGCGAATTAATGTTTCCTGGATCATTAAATTCGTCGCGGTTCGCGCCGTAAATACAAATGAGCGAAACGCGTAGGACTCCATTAAGGGGTTGAAACGGCTGGTAAAACCGTGCGAAAAGCAATACAATTCCAAAGATTCTTTTTTTCTACGTCGTGCGTCACGACCGCTTTAGAATAATACGGATTCAGACAGGAACTTTCCAAGCCCAGGTAAGATATTACCATAACTCATCCGGAATGTACTAGATCATCTTTTTTGTAGACAAGAATACCTTTGCTTCTCTATCTGTGCTGTTCCATCAATTATCAATCTTTAGTGGACAATAACAAAATAATCAATCACCGGTGAAAGCTCAGCTCTCTTTGGTGCTGAATACAAATGTGAACTTGCGCTTGTGTGACATTTATCTGTTTGACTTTCAAAAGCAGCATCTTGCACTCTTTGTGCACGTGTTCGATCGCGAAAGATGCACGAGACACGTTAAGGGAATCGGATAGGCTTGGAAACTTCCACTCGGTAACATTTCGTATCCACGAACGAAAGTTGATTCCTCGTGGTACAATCACTGGATACGGATTTCACGAGGGGTACAAAGTGGAATCTTTTACGACGTCGTTGACGAGACGGTAGGCGACATAGACGAGGCGAGCCGAGATGAGACGAAGTGAGACGACGCGTTTCCTTAAATCAAAGCGCACGGCGTAACCTACCCGCAGCGTGCGGGCCCCGAAAACCTGTCCCAGTTCCATAAGAAGACCCTGCCCCCACGGCCGGCCTATTCCAGTGTGACATATAAATTCGTCGTGGCGCGTACGTGCGCCGAAAGAGGAAACATATATCGTGTCGGACGAATGCGCGAGAACGCGACATCGGGCGCACCTGACCTGAAAGCTTAAGCCCGCTTCGCGGGCCCGTCCGACCCATCGTTATCTGCCTCCGTGGATCGGTGGTACGCCTTTTCTTGCCCGCGAGACAGAAGGAGGTGTCGATTCCACGACTTTTTCGAGAGTTATGTAAAGCGACCCGTCTGACCGATTGTGGAATTCTAACGAGACCTTCAGGACCAGCGTAATGCCCTTTTTGGCGAATCGCCTCCGTTCTCACCGCATTCATTTCGTCGATCTTTCGATCAGTCGTCGATCAGGCTGCTCGAAACTCGCAATTTCACCGATGCATATGTTATAGTTGTCATGATTAGTGGCTCTGTGGAACAATTTGAAGCAATTGCAATCGTTAAATTCAACCAATAACGCGTCTTGAAAAGATCACTTCTCAATTCGGGTTCAAATTCTTTTTATCGTACACGGGAAAAATTTTGTAGTGAAAATTACCATACGATTTTGTAACTCAAGATTAGATTGACGTGTTGCACAATTCACGATCCTTTCATAGTTTCATATGCGCTACTTATATTTTAGGAACTAGAATGTGCTGTTAGAATATTTGCTATATTTGTTAGCGAAATCTGTTACATTCCTCAGCAAGATAAAGCTTATTGTATTCCTTACAGTTTATTCCTGGACTACTAAGAATATAGTAAAATTACAAAGAAGTTATATGAAAAAGGCTATAATATTTTCTCCGTGCACGATGCATTTAACGACCGCGTGAGTTCGCGAGACCTTTGCGTGTGACAAAGATTCTCTGCGAGAGATCTAGCGTGGGACCGAGAGCGTGCGAAGAAGGTTCGATTCACCGATTATCCGTAACATTGGCAACAACTGGCGGGTCATTATTAGATTTTGGTCTTCGAGTCAGAGGGCAGCAGCTTCCGAGAAGCACAGAACCTCACCATTCGTACAGGCAACGGTCGCCCAATGTCTGCTTCTCTGCTTTTCGAGGTAGACATCGGTGGCCAGGTGAGAGGACGGTCCGCGCGACCATTCGACAAATCCACCGTGTCAAATTCGGGCCTCGGGTCCGGGCATCTCGTGGAGAGCCCGTTCACCGAGCTAAGTCACTCGGACACGGTTCTCCCGCCCTCTCATTGCTCTCAGCACGATCCTGCCTCTCTCTGCCGCTCTCCTCTCGGGCTTCTTTATCTCTCTCTATCTCTTTCTCTCGTCTATCGTCACGACTTCGTTAGGGTTTCAGCAAAACGACTTAATGTATTGTGAAAAGTACACGAAACCGACATTTGGCCGCTGCGGCCGGGTCGTGTGGCCCACACAAGAAGACAAGAAGGCCCCTTCGCTCATTCGCGTTACCGACTCGTTGACGACGCATCACCGCGACAGGATTTAAGACCGTAAATATGGAAATGCCCCTGACGTCCGAGTGGAGATTCTTTCTTCTCCTATTTTCGGAGACCACTCACTCTCGGTTTTTTGACCTCTCGAGCAGGGAATCCTGATATCGTGGGATCTATTCATGAAGATGCGCTCGATTAACAGACATGTTGGTGCTCTTTAAGGATCGTCAGCGTAAAAAACGAAGACGAAGGTCGCGTCGATATACCTTCCGTATTAATTAATTAAGGGCGAGATATCGTGTATCCGCAGAAATAATAAGTATTTTTCACTCGAATCGAGCAAAGACGACGCCATTAATTGAGCGAACTCGTTACACCGGTTTGATTTATACGTCTGTACTCCGCAACAATACGAAGGACACTGGCGTTCTTGCGCGAATGTTTCCAACACTCGTGCACTATCTATTGAGTCATCTGAAACGCGATTCGGGTCCGATCAACCTCACCTATAATAGAGATGCCTCGACATTGCAGCCGCGATGTCGCGTGTAACAAATTAAAACATTTGATCACGGTAACATGATATTTACTATAAAATTCTCTCCGTATACATCGATCGTATCAACCCTGTGGACAATTCCACGAAATACTCCGTAGGTATACAACCTGTTCTTAGAGAATCGTGATCGATTATTTGAAGCGACGATTGAAAAGCTCTGTCGACATTAATGAATCGCGTGAATTGCAACTCGTTGCATCCGTTCGATTCAACGAAATCGAACGGGTGGATACTTCTAGAATACGCCTTGGTGTTTCCGAAGAACACGTATGTTCGCGCGAAGACCTCCCGAGTGCTATCTATTGAGTTATCTAAATACCGATTCGGGCCTGACACGCGAGAGTAGCATAGGACTCGTGCACCATCCGTCACTACATCGAGCCGCGTCGAGGCTCGTCGGCGAAGAGATGAAGGAGCGAAGGAGCGAAGGCCGCTGCGCGTTCCTCGGGATTCTTCCCTGCCTTCCGCTTTGGTAGGGTCTCCGACTGTCCCTGAGTGAGAGAGAGAGAGAGAGAGCAAGGACATGAGGAGAGACGTACAACTCCCCGTGGAGGATTTATTACGCGTTCCCTCCGCCTCTCTCGCTGTCGAGAAACAGCGGCGATCTCGCGGCACGGTAGCTATCTGCATTATAAAACAGTTGCTGCCAATAGCCGTATATAGCAAAAGCTCCCAACGACCTCTCCCACCACCATGGGGCCATATAAAGGACCTTTCCTCCCAACCCCTCGCGCCGTGTCTTCTTCCACGCTGAACGACGCGCACTTTTCCTTAGCGTCGAAAGGGTTAGCATCCGCGGCGACGGCGCGCGACATCGGGTTCGGACGGTGCTGGTTGGGAACTGTGACGGTCCACCCTGGTTCTCATTCTCGACGGTTCCTATCGGCCCGCTGAATCTCGCGAGAAATGTCCTCCTGTTCGTCGAAGGCCGACCTCCGGCATTCACGGAGGAGCCTCTTTAACGTCGCGTAGCGACTCTTCGTGTGGCCGACGAAGAGCGACGTAATCAGCTGCCAGCTGTCCGTAGGACTGCCTCCTGTGCTGAGAGACGATCAAACGGATCCATTCTGTTGAGTGATCTAGTAACGGGATCGGCCGAAAAGATCTCTCTCTTCCTTTCGTTGTCGTGGATTGTCGTTGCGTGGTACGCACGATTTCTTGTAAGAGCGATAAAGTCACGTTACAGAAATATGTCGTATATTTTGTTGTTTTTGTTGAGAATATTTATCGAGTAGGCACCTATTGAGCTACCTTCTTTCCATTTTCGACGAGGAGGGAGCGAGCGAGTAAAAGGGGCTGTTTTTCAACCCTGTACCCTCGAAGACCAGTTGCATATACGTCGTATCGTTCGTAAGTTGACAGCCACCACCGCAGCTTCGAAAGCGGCCGTCCGTCAATCGCGTCTGGACAACGTCCCAGAGATCTTGAGAGACCTTGAAGGGTCCGGAGAAAAACAGCATTTGACGTCGCATTACTTATCCGCGGTGGACCAGCCTAACTTTTTGAAACAACCTCTGCTGCGTCCAACCTCTATCTCGTATTTCTTCGTGTTTTCTTCTCCTTCGAATATCGCGAGGGCGGGCGCGATTAATCTCTGCATTACAGAATTTTGCTTCCGCATTTAATATTTATTATGAAATGATATTCGCGGTTGGTATAATGGAAAAAAGAAATTATATAAATAGTGATATATTAACAAAGTCACATTATCAGTTATCGAAATGTCTAGTGAGAGAGACGCGGAGAATAAAGATTGTTAAACGCACGTTCTACGCGCCGCGTTGCCTCCGTGGAGGTTCGAGGGACGCCCCGAGAACGGCGCGACACGATCCGCGATTTTCGCGCGAAATCGGGCGAGAAATCGCGATTTGTCCACGGACGACTCGCGGAGACGGAGTTCGGCGTTGCGTCTTCAGGCACCCTGTCGCGAGATCATTTATACATGCGGACGGTGGATGCCTGCCTGCTTGCCGGCCGCCTCTGCTGATGGCCGCGCTTTGTTTTGACGGACGGCTGAATAATCTACCTCGGAACTGCGCCTGATGGCTGTCCGTCCTGTCTGTCGGCCCGTTCCGTCCCGAGCTCGCTACCGAAGTTCCTTCTACGGAAGCTCGGCACCACCGGTGTCCCGCTGTTTCATGCTCATTCCTTTACTCGCGAGAGGAGAGAAGCGAATGCGATATCGTGGCCTTGCGTATATTATCCGTGTCGTGCCCCGTCGGCGTCACCGACGACGAGCGGCAATTTGCTGACTCTCGACAGAAACGATCGCGGAATGGACGAGAGTGTCTTCTCTATACCTCGACGCGTCTCAAACACCTGCCCGTCGGTACTTGAAGATTCTGAGTCTGAGACGCGTTACCTCAGCTCGTCTGCTCCGTCACGATTCAGAGAATGGTATCGACTGAACAGCGGAACTTACGGCAAATTAAATGCAGAATAAAATTATGCTACCTATTCGCGGATATTTGTCTCAAGATTAAAAAACATCCGACATCCCAATATTTTTATTTTCGAGTGGTATCAGGAGATATAATGTGGAAAATTTCTAAGAACCCATCTATTAATTAAAAAAAGAAGAGAGAGCTCGACCTTCTAAATTATGAATTATAAAAATTGACTGTTCGATATCTTCACCGAAACAGCGATGTCAACGCGACTTAAGGATCGACAGAGGGACTGTCGATTATTTATCGCATTCTGTTTGCAGGCTACAGAGAGACGGCGTTTGCTTACGCAATTTCGGCAGCTGGAGTGGCTCACAACGTGGCTCGTGCCTGCAGCATGGGCCGCCTGCTCTCCTGCGGCTGCGATCCATCGAACTATAGGGGTAAAACGCCGGCAAAGGCCAAAGGTGTTCAATGGAAGTGGGGCGGTTGCTCTCACAATCTCGACTACGGTATAGAGTTCTCGAGACAGTTCCTAGACACGCGGGAGAAAGCCGGCGACATACAGTCTACGGTGAACCTACACAATAATCAAGCCGGTCGTCTGGTAAGTACTACTTTCGCAACTCCGTTGTAGCTGAACTCCGGATATGAGTGTGTTCCGTTGAACACCGGATATTTGAACGTATATCTTTTCCTAAGAGGATAGAAAAGAAGAGAAACCAATATTAGACGTTCCGCGTCATTCTTATTTTCACTGCGTAAATTTCTGTCGATCGAATCATCTCTTCCTTAAGTGGCCTTTAAACTAATGAAGTCACACGATTTCAAAATTTAAGACAAAGTTCTAATAATGAAAGAAAAAATAAAATATATTTATTCTCTTTTTACCCTCTTTTCTTACGACACTGAAAGAAAAGGAAAAAGAGTACGCACTTCTAAAAAGTAAAAGTCAGCAGAAAAGTATGCAGAGGAGGAAGGGCGAAGAAAAGAAAATCCCGCACTCAAGATAATTCGGATTCATAAGAAATATATATTCGAATAAATTTATTCGATGAGTACTAGTGGTATGTTTATATTGTATTAATATATATATTTTTGCATTTGGCAAAGATTTCTTTCAAATGAGAAAATATATATTTTCCTAAAATCATTGTTTCTCATGAGAAAGTAACTGTTTATTTTATTTAAACAAAAATTTAGATTTAAGCAAATATATTATTAGTACTCATCGAATAAATATTTCTTACTTTTCAAATATTTCTTTTCTGAATGTTAAAAATTAAATTGAAATTATTACCACAAAGTTTCCCATTCAAAGTTTTCTTTGATACATCTTCCGCTTAATAGACCTTTCTTTAGCTATTTCCTCGTAATAATAATGTATAAAAAGTCGAATTCTATTTTCTGCCTCCTTCAACGTTAAATTCGAGATGTGTCATAATCGAGAACTATCGTAGCAACCTCTGTGCATACACACATATACACACACACACAGACTATCCCACGGCAAATGATGCGCCATCCTGAAGCAGACGCGCGCAAGAAATGTACCGTTAAGCGGTCGGTGGGGAATCCCGAGGAAGCGAATTCGCAATCGCGTGCCGCGTCCGCCCGCGAATAACGTAGCGCGCACGCCACACCGCGTCCTGCCGCAGGTCCTGCCGCGTGAGAGTGCTTCGAGTTATCCTGGGTGCGCGATTCTCCTTTCTTCGTTCTTCCTCCTCCGTTCTACCTTTCCGCCGGCTTTTACTTTTTAGCGAGGTGCGCACTCTTCTTCCCTTCCTCCCAGCGTCGCAAGAAAGGAAGAAAAGAGGATGAAAAAAGAATAAAAGGGAGCGACGAAGAGGAAGGCAAGGAGAGCAGAGGAACAGAAAGGGAAAGGAGGAAGAGAAGGGGAGAGAGAGAGAGAGAGAGAGAGAGAGAGAGAGAGAGAGAGAGAGAGACCTTCTCCTCCTTTCCTCCGTGGACCTCTCCACGCTCGCTCTCTCGCCTCAACGTTATTAAGACGAAGCCCCGGGCTGGACCACCCAGCCGTAGACTCATTAACTGTTTTGTACGCGACACCTCTTTGTTTAAAAGAAACTGGGCCCTCCCCTTTCTCCTCTCTCTTTCTCTCTCCCCACGTCTCTCGCCCTCTTGGCCACCCTGCGCACCCTGTGCATCCGAGCGACTCGTACCTGTTTGTACAGCGTGTTAGAACCGGAGTTTTTCAGCCGAAACGTCGCAATGGCGGCATCGCGGATATCGCAATCTGAGGGAAAGATTCGATTCGGCCCGCCTCGTCCGCCGGGCCGAAGATCCGGACGAAGAAGAGACTGTGCTCGACCGTGGCAGGTGTAAATGAAAAAGTCGATCGACCATCTCGTGCAAAATCAACCGACGTGGAGACGACTTCTTAGCGCGACTTCGGAACTCGACGATACGCGCGCGAGACACCTCGGCTCTTCTTCCTTTTATCTACAAGAGTCATCCGCAAAGTAATGTCCTGGGCTCTTAACGAAAAACCTGTTAACAAAATATTTTACCCTATTCCTCGCTACAAAAACTACTTCGATCATGATTACAATGGCTCGAAATGACTCAAATTTTGGGCAAATATATAACTGTAATAAAAAATATTTTGTTGGTTTTCTTTTAATAGTCTATATCCGACTTTGTTTGGATCCTCGTATAACTTCTGTCATGAATTTGGACGCTGAATATAATAAATTTTCGAGGAAAGAGGGAATTTTCAGGGAAGGTGACTCATAAGGAAATGTTTCAACATTATTTTCCATCGCGTGTTCTCGCGCGAAGCTTGCGATAACAACGCAATGTGAACGTTTTTGCGCATGATTGCAGGCGGTGGCGAACAACATGCAGGTGCGCTGCAAGTGCCACGGCATGTCTGGCTCGTGCGAGCTGAAGACCTGTTGGAAAGTCGTCCCGGACTTCCGGACAGTCGGCAAGGTCCTCAAGGACCGTTTCAGGAACGCTGTTCTGGTGACGCAGAGCAATTTGGGCAGCGTGACGCCGTCCATGAGGACTCGCGGCGCGCGTCGGAGGAAGCCCGATCGCCAAAAGCGACGGAAGAATCGCGGGGGCGACTTCGGCCGTAAGAAGAAGCCGCGGAACCTCGCGAAGCAACTCTACTATTATCAGAAATCGCCCAACTTCTGCGAGCGTGACACGGCGATCGACGTAACCGGCACCGCCGGTCGCAGATGCAACAAGACTAGCACCGGCGGCGACGGTTGCGGCAGTTTGTGCTGCGGCAGGGGTTACAACGTGGTGCGCCAGCGGCGGACCGAGTGGTGCGCATGCAAGTTCCACTGGTGCTGCTTCGTGCAGTGTCAGAACTGCACGGTAGAGGAGTGGATCACGGTCTGCAAGTAAGGGAGGACCGGACGCAGGATGGAGGTTTAAGACTGACGGAAATGTCGACGCGGACGTCGTTCGTCCCGCGAACGGGGCACGACGATCGACGGAGATCGAAGGGGAGTGAGGGGCTCGCACAGCCTCGAAACGATAAGAGAAGCAATTAGCTCCGGGAATTCGCCGTGGAGGCATGCTCGTTCGCGGGGTCGATTGTAGGACGTAAGACGATAGGATTAACGATACGGTTCTTACTGAAGCCGGGATTACGAATTTCTCCGGGACGATCGAGACGTCAGAGCGAATCTCTCTCCTCGCCCAGCTAACTTCGAAGCTCTGTGAACGCATCAGTAACGTAATAATCCTCGTTAGCGAGATTAAATCCGATTTCTTCTACGCAGGCACCTTTGGATTCGATCGTGATTCAATTTTCTATTCGTCGGCGTGTCGTTCGGAATTGCGCGCCTCCACCGTGAATCAGCGCGTTAATCGCGCCATTCGAGAGTCCGTCTTAGTCTACGACAAGAAACTTGTCCATCATTGTAATGTCTAAAATCAATTTTTGCGTAAACGTGGAAAGTAACGACATCTCCACCCCCACCACGACTGACACAGATCGATTTGAAGCCCTTTGCGAATATTGGATGTCGGTTTAGCAATCTTTTTTAACAGCTACCTGTGACAATCGGATCAAGAGTTAACGGAGTTAATCTTTGAATCAATGCAGAGACCCAACAATCGTACTAGAAATAAATTTACATTGAACGCTTCGTAATGATACGAGTAATACAAAACGATTTATACATAGGCCATAAGCGAACCCTATAATTTATTTATCATGACGCTCTATTTAATTGATATTTAATTTTAACTTTTGCGTGAACTGTAACACCTCCATCACAGTATTATTAGGCGAGACACGTGTCCCGTTCGATGGATACGATTGTATACAATTTAATAATGCGCGAACAATAAAGAGAGTTCCTTTAAACCACGCACGTCGTACGTTTACCTACCGAATGCCTTTCTTCCCGAATTACGCCGACGTGTGATCAACATTCTACGACAATTTTGTTGTTTACGCGCGTTCGATTCGCTCCACGAGCACAAGTGTAGATAACAAGAAAGATACTCATAAATAAACCTAAAAGTTACACTCCGATTTCTTTCTTATTTGACACAAACGTAGAAGTACAAAAACTATTTAGGCTATATTTTTTCATTTTGGCCCACTTTGAGTTTCATGGGCAGTTTATAGTTTTTAATGTTCTTACTCCTATCATCAAGTGCAACAAAAATTCATAAGAAATAAAATTGAATACAAGATATAGGCGTTTTTGGTTTGCTGATTATGAATATGAACTCAAATGTAAAAGTGTAAAATTATTTGTGTAAATAATAAAATGTTTAAACATGTAAAACATGTAAAAAGTTGAAAAAAATTATTTATACAAAAAATTTCTCAGTTTGGTCGAGATTTGAACCATTTTTTACTAATTTAGCACAGATTTGAAATATTTCGGTTGGAATCTCGGCTAAAGAAATTTAGAATGGTTCGTATCTCAGCTATGCCGATTTTGTTAAAATTATTCAACTATATCTTGTATTCAATTTTATTTCTTATGCATTTTTGTTGTACTTGTTGATGATAGGAGCACATTAAAACGCTATAAACTACCCGTGAAACTCAAAGTGGGCCAAAATGAATAAATATGACCTAGATATTTTTTGTGCTTCTATATTTGTGCCAAATTAGAAAGAAATCGGAGTGTACCTTTTGGGTAGGTTCACTTGTCAGGCCTGTATTAATAGTTGTTATTTAAAGCTTGTCTCAAGCGAGACATCCAGATTTTTATTCAGATCCAAATCTTCCCGTTGAATTACGATAAATGTGACATTTATGTTTGTAATCGCAATCTAATTGAAAAATTTTCATTTAATCTTTTGAAGAGAATGGTTTTATCGTGAGATCACCTATTAGAATCAAATCATAGTTTCAGACAGTGATCTCGCGATGAAACCATCGCTCAGTCCTAATGGAAATATTTTGTTGCACGGTAAAATCTGCAAAAATAGGAAAATAGAAAAAATTAATTTCAAAACAAATGATCTCTTGGGTCATTTTAGACATGGACATGAATATTTTATTAAAATCCGAATTCTGGAGCTTCAAAAGATTAATCTTGAATTGAAATCTAAGTATTCAGTTTTCAGTTCAGACTTCAGACGAGAATTTCAAATAATAATTATTGATATGGATCTTTGTGCATTTTTAAAGTTTCTTTTCTGACTGTTTTGCTTACCCCGAAATACACGTGACCTCTGTTGTTACTGAGTGATCGTCGTGATCGATTATAGTGCCTTGAATCCTCGCAGAGATCTATGCCAATCCTATCTTTACCGAGAAAAAATGCGTTTCAACTAAGCCGCGGAGCTTCCAGCGATCAAAGCTAGTTGCCTTACCGTTATTCTTAATTGTACTTCTGTATGTGTGACGTGTTCGCGACTACTACTACCAACAACGGTATCACCACGCAACGTCATCCGACAATTCCGTCGGATTCGAGTGTTATTTGCACAATGTTCATCGCGAATCGCTTGAATGCTCTTGGAACTTAAAAGATCGCTCCATTTCGCGTCGAAAACGCGTTGTTCGATGCGTTGTGCATTTTTTGTTTTTCTTCTTCGTGCTCCGACCAGACTTCGATCGGGATCACCCTCGATTCCCGCGACTATAATTCAGACCGCGACACAGATAGGTCGATACTGTACGGGTGTCGTTCTTTGATACGAGCCGCCAATAATCCCGAAGTGTGACCGGTACAAGCTTTATCGTGCGATCGGCGATTCGTCTTTCGCTCGGACGATCGACAGGGCCGCGCGGAAAAAGCGCGAGAGGGGTGGCGGGTCGGCGCAAAGGGTCCGGAATGAAGGAAGAAAGGACGGTAGGTACGTGCCGACCGAAGATGAGGCGGGGCGAGAGAAAACGAGAGAGAGAGAGAGAGAGAGACAGAGCTTATTGATTTTGTATGAGACGAACGCGGCGCGAGTGAGATGGTCAGAGATAAGTTCCGCGATTCGCGCGACTCGTACGTGATCGGCACAGGGATGACCCTCATAAGCGTCGAACGATGGACGGTGGTCGCGACAGAAGCTGCCATTAACCTCCCACGATATCCGCGATATATTCCCAACGTAAGAAATTTCCATTTTTTATATCATTGTTAGGCTAATGTATTTGATTGCCTAATTTAACCCTCCGAACGATAACCAGTATCATTTGTGTCCGAAAGTTTCTCGTTTTTCGAAATATTTTCAATTTATTTTTCACAGAAAAGCTGCGGTCTTCAACTAGAAAGGTGAAGGAAGTTTCAATAATTTTTGGGGATTTTTCCGAGCATCCTCCGAAGAAAAAAAAGTCGAAGAAGACACAAATGACCCTGGTTGCCACACAGAGAGGTTTAATTTCGATATGCTACATTACATTTCATATATTACGTATATTTTTTTTATTTATTTGGCAAGAGACACGCTATAGATCTTCCTTGAGGATAGATTTGATCGGACCCAGGCGCAACATTGGCGCGGAATCCCGATTTCGTTCCTTATTCTTCGCGGCGACCCAGGGCGACGTTCGAGCACCGATCGCTTGTCATAAACCGCGGATGATTACCGAGTTATTTTTAACCTCATGGGCGAAAGGGGGCTAATTACTTTTTTATGGGCTCCCGGGGATATCGGCGCGTAACAAACTGCCAGGTTGACGACGCGGAGAAATGCACAACAAAGTGGGTAGGATGTGCGCCCGCCGGTAAAAGGACGAAATCCGGGGAAGCACTTGCGCGCGCGGGGCAAGAAGGCGTAGTAAGGCGCGCATCCGCATTAACTGCACGGCCCCGCGAACGACGAGCGGCTCCCTTTGACGGCGACAGCGGCCACGACGACCCTGAAGAAGCCGCGATAAAGCGCATTAATTTATCGCGCGCGCGCGCGCCTCCTCCCCCCACCCGACCCCAGGGAGATCTTGCTCCCGAGGCGCATTGATCCAAAGAACGAGATTAGAAGCGAGCAATCGCGTACGGCGCGATTTCTTTTTTCCTCTTTTTTTTCCTCTTTCTTTTTCCATTTACCGTTGAATGTCGAACACGCGACGATTGTGCGGTTACGTTACGCACAGCAGTGAAACTGTTAAAATTAAGCTTTATAACTTTTATTGAGATAAGAGTGTGACGGAAAATTCGATTATGTTAGATACATTTTAAGTGCACTAGAAAAAATTGGTGGAAAAAAAATTAAATTTCACTCCTTCGGGATACTCACTCACGAGATATAATTTGAAAAAAATACATATATATCGGTAAAAAAGAAAGTGTTAAATAAAACAACATTGCTGCTAACGAATAAGATAAACTCCGCATTGGAATTACATTATTCGAATCTGCTACAGTGATAAAACGACGAAATTATTACCCGGGTGAAAAATGCCGGTCACATTGTAGGATGAAGCTCCACGATTTTCTCTTGAATGTCCCGTGAATAGAGATTAAAGCGTCTGTCGATAAGCGAACGCGCTGAGAAGCGTCATTGCGAGAGCTTATTAAAAGGATTCCGATCCGGATAAGCAATCTGAATGGGAGGACGATCGAGAGGGGAGCCGTGGACGATTGCCGAAAGGACTTAGAATGAGCCTCATAACGACTGATGAAAGAGAAAACAGATTTCCGACGCAGGGCAGGGTGGCAGAAACGACGGTCCGACGAGTGGAATCGATGAGGCTAACAGGCTTGCGAGTTAGCTAATTAAGTCGGCGTTATTGGATCATGGAAGCCAAGCATCGCGCACCCCGTCCCTCGCCCGCGTAGATCGCGGCAGCCACGCCATGAGAATACGTCGTAGTGCACTTAGTCAGACCGCGCTAGCATTGCGAGGGTGGCAGCCGCGGGGCCTACACGACCTGCCAGACGTGTTTTAATTAGAGGTGAGTTCTGAGCCGCGCAGGACGGCTCGAGAGAAAGAGAGAGATAGAGCCGCGTCCCTTTACGTAAGTAAAGTATTTTCGTGCACCCTCCGTGTAACGCGAAACAGCCACCGCCGTCGCTTTCATCACGCTACCACGCCTACCGTGTCGCGAACGGAGCGAAGACGAGAAAGGTCGCGCATACGCGAGAAATAACGAAGTCAAGGAGTGACAAGTGCGACGGGACGAAGAGCAACACGCGGGGTCTGCAATCGGTTCTTGGAGAACGGAACGAAATATGTCGAGATCGAGCTAGGTGTGTTTGCGGCGCGCGTCAGGTAATCTCCCCGTTCTCTTTATTTTCTTTAAGCAGAAGAGAGAAAGAAATGAAATAATTAATGAATTAAATGAATTAACTGAGTTGTATATAAGAGTACAAGAGGTTAGTACAGGAGATTATTGATAAGTACGAATTAAACTCTGATGAATTAAATGAGTCATAGGGATGAAAATCTAATTTTTAATACAATGTTGTGAAAGAGTTTGCACATCATGCCATGTGATATCTACTTCTTCTAAATATTTTTAAAAAATACAAACAAGCTCGACACGCACGGAATAAACAGCGAGAAAAACGAATCATTTGTAAGATACTTTGCATCTTTCTTATTTTGAAAACGAAGGGACAAAGTTTGTTTGTTTTGAAAGACGGTATGCAACAGTACAAATGAATACTCATATTTCACCTGTAAATATACCAAAATAGGTGTTATAGCACGACGAGAACAAGAAAATCGTAAGTCGTTTGTCTGCTGTATCGACCCTTCTGACAATGACATCGATGAACGATGGAGTGACGGTGCGTCAGCGAAAGAAAGCCGAAGAAAGGCCGGATTAGAGGCCGCGCCAATTTATGCGAGTTCAGGAAAGTACAGAAAAGTATACCGGGAAGTTAAATGTTACATGAGCTTCGGCGAAGAGAAGACGGTCGAGATTCCCAGTATCGATTAGTCCGCTGACGGAAATAACGTACGGTCATGGCGATTTTTCGCGAGCCGAGAACGCGAGAACCGCGACACCTCGGCCACGGAATCGGCGAACAGGTTGACGTTTTATCTGCCGAAAGCATCGATCGATGGGCGTCTGTAAAAGGGACAGGGCGAGAAGCAAGAAAGCACCGCGTAAGGTCCTACCTTCGAGATAGGCGCTCGCTTCTACGCGACAAGTAGTTTGCGGCAGAATGCGAAGGGATCTCGTTCTATGCATGTCGCTTCGTTCTCTTGCAAACGCATTATAAATAAGATAGACTTAAATTGTACGAAAAATTACATGAAAATAATGCAAGCCATACAAGTATAAGAACAAATTCCTTGAATATTTAAAAAAAATGTCAAAGTTCGATAGTTACAAATTTTTTTGTTGAAATCAAGTAAAAATTTCAAGCAATGAAAGGATGTTTTTAATGTTGAGATTCGTGCTAATTTCGTATATCGCGGTATCCTGAAGTGTATCGTTACACTATTCGAACAGCGACGTAAAAAGTAAGTCTCTATCCGTATTAATAGTTACTTTTGAAACTCGTCTTTTTAGCAAGATACCTAGATTTGAATTTAGAGTTCGATGAAAACTTTTCAGTTGAATCACGCGATCACAGATATAAATATCACGTTTATTGTATTCAACTGAAAACTTGGATTTAACTCTGAATAAAAATTTGAGTACTTCACATGAGACAAGTTTCAGCTGACAAGTATTAGTACGGATCTATGTCGTTTTTTCTCGACGTCTCATACATTCGCGTGTTTCCTCAGACTTCAAGTTTAGCTGTATTCAGGTTCCGGTATCGTCAAAATTGGCTATTACCCGCTAAAAGGCAGGTGAAGACAGCTGAAAACAGACATAGTTCGAAGTTTCGAACGAAGCGTCATGCTTCATGTTTTATCGCATTTACGGAAGTCGCGGCTCAGCTGAACGCGATCTCTCTGAATATTCCCAGCGCAATGATGACGATCGATCGTAAAGAGAAAGCAGAACATATAAACATATAATGCTACGCAATGCCGTAGGTGCACGTTTCTTACATGGACATGAGAGACAGCGAGCGAACGAGCAAGCCACTTGTCACCGGTTCACTGTGGTGCTTTCCGGCGGCAGGAGTGTCGAACCCTTTTCAACTGGTCCGGTCGGACCCGGCGACGTTTTCGGCCTCCTGCCCTTTCTCTCTCTGTCTCTCCCCTTCTCTCTTTTTTCTTCTACCACTACTACCGTTGCCGTTTCTTCCCAGGGACTCGCGGTGCTAACATTCCGCCGTGGCAGGCGACCGTCCTCCGTCGCAGGCCAAACAGATATCAACTTTCCCACAGATACTTTTTCGGGAGGCGAACACGCGGAGAACGTGGCCGCTGTCCTTCCTTCTCTGCGTTTTCGCAGAAACGCACGAATGCCGGAAGACCCATTAATTCCTACACGTCAAGTACGACAGTAGTCACGTGGAAAATTCGGGAGACGCGCAACGGACCAGCCATTGTGTCTCGATATGTCAATGATTACTCCCAACTACTTGCACCGATTTACTTGATCGGATGGTACATTGATTAGGCTCGAGAGTTACTCTATTGTTACGCGACGATCTAGCTTCCAAGATGCACCAACAAATGATCGTATTCAGTCCGCATTTATAGTGAAAACACAATTGAGCTACGATCAAAATATAATATTGAAATACATACTCAATGTTGCCTAAAACGATAAATACCTGCCTGAGAATAACGTCATAGAAAATTTACAAGAAAGAAACAGATGTTAGTTTCTTAAGGAAAAAAGAATTTGAAGAGGTCAGAGAAGACTGTGAATTCATCTCTCGCGGTGGTTACTAGTACATATATCGCGCGGAACTTTCTCACAATGCGCGTTTCGTCGCCCCGCGGTTCTTCCTTCCTTTTAAAGGATCGCGGGGTCGAGTCCACCTCGGCCCTATACGCAGAAGAGAACGAGCGGAGAAGAGGGTGAGAAGGAGAGGCGGAAAGACCGGCGACGCGGAAAGCTTTTTTCTGAAATCACAGGACCCGTCCTCGTCCTTCTCCTCTTCCTCTCCTCCATCACCTCCTTCTTCCTTCACCACTCCTTCTTCGATGTCTCGCGGCGTGCAGTCGGGCATCAATAATTTAGCGCCTCGTCGTATCAATAAACTTGCACCGGCTCCAGCGCAAAGCGGAGAGAAAGGTGAGGAAGGACGAGGCCAGGACGAAGAGTGAAGGTGCAAACGGAGAGACAGAGGCAGGAAGATCCTGGAGCGCGCTGGCGTAGGACGGAACCGCGAACGCGTCCTCCGGTCCGAGTGGCTTTTCTTACGGCCGTTCACATATAGTCAGTGACGCGCCGTCCTCTCGCTCGAGTCGCTCTCCTTCTCGCCGACTCGATTACAAGCGGCAAGAAGCGACATTACATGGGACACGCCGCGCCGACAAATCGACGGATTATGCTGGACGGGCGCCGACCTACCAGGAATAAATGAATTGGCTAACGACGTGACTCCTCTCTTTTCTCACCCCGCGTATATCCCAGCAGTTTCCCTACTGACTCGCTGGGAAACAGGGTTCCAGGCGGACTCGCCAAAATTCAAGGACACTGGGAAGCACGAATTCGCAAATTGACTTCTCGCAGAAAGAGAACGGGATCGACGCTCGACTTGAAACAGCGAATGAAAATAACAACGTGCTAACCTGATATAGTATAATTAATACCTAATGCAGAGAATATAGAGCCATCGAAGTGTGACATCGATACGTCCTATGAAATTCAGAAAGAAGAAGGGTTTCTTTATCTGCGAAACCTTGATTGCACGTGACGCTGATTGCATTTAAGACCATACGATAATCCTATTAGAAAACGACACACTTTCTCGAAGCTTATCAACTGCGCCCTTACGAATCCAGAGAAGAATGGAAGCAATCGGAATGACCTGTAAGTGGATTACTATAAAGCGCACGCGATGAAGAGTATCTAAAAATAGAAAAATTTCAAAAGAGAGAAAGAAAGACAGGGAGAGGGAGAGAGATCCGTCGACAGTTTTTCATTTTCTCTCTGCGAGGGTATTTATTATCCTAACGTGTTTATGAAAACTACCGCACACCTCTGTCGTCGTGCAAGTGCTGAAAATAATTTTACGTAATGCGACGAGTGATATCGACTTACGATGTTTTTGTAGCCCCACAAGTTTTGACGTTCACGTGTTCAACGAATAAATAGCAAACTAAATTAGTCTATCGTGTTTCGAAGGAAACGTCAACATTTACACTTGACGGTCTGTGTAAAATAAAATTTGCCTTGGATAACCAGCAGTTGCGTAGCGTTAGATTGAAAAATTTGAATACTGCCAGAACGTGGACGAAAAATAATGACAATGACTTGGCAAATCCTACAACTTTTTTGGCTGACTCAATCAACGATATTCCAACGAATAGCAAGTATCACAAGTTAAGAAAGAAGTACGCGGCGCATAAAAAATTCAACGGACTCTCTTCTTGGCTCCTCGAGCAGAAGGAATGCGATTAAATCTCGGCGCACGGGTTTAGTGTAATTCGATTAAAACGTACAGCCGATAAATAGGCAGGGATGCGAGTCAGGTTCGAGGCGGAGGACGCCCCTCCGATCCTTTCTTCGCCCCGTCCTTCTCCGGCAACGCCCGCTGAAGCTTTCAGGAAGCAAGCTACTAATTAACGATTACCACTCGTTCACGGGGTACTCGAGAGGGAATATAATTAGCACTCACCTTTGTGAGCCGGGGCGCTGCTAAAACACTCGATCGGCCGATCCTGACGTCTCTTAAAATATTCCGTCCGAAGAGTCATCCTCGATCTCGTGCGACTTGATCACAGGCGGAGAGACGTCGATCGTGATTTTTCGAGAATGCGAAGGGATATATTTCCATTGTCCATGCGCACATCCACAAACACTCGCCGGCTGAAAACAGAAAAGCACGTTGATTCATCGAAATACCGTGGAATTTAATACGATATATTAAATTTGTTACTGATTTGTCGTTACTTTCGAACTGAAGTAACTTGACACGTATTCAATCTTATCTTCGCATTAATTAATAACACTTTGTTTACGTCAAATTCTAACCTGAAACATTTTGTCCACCGCACACCAAACATTTTTAATTATTGTTAATTATTATATATTAACCCTAAAACCTTAAATATCAAAAGGTTAAACCCTAAACATGGGTAAATTTTATCCAGCGCACACTCATAATTATGTTCATAACTGTCGTAAAAATTATCAAAATTCAATATCTCTTTTTTCGCAACATAGAAAACATCGAAGAATCTATGGATGTTTCTGCGACTCAATTAAACTGACAAAAGTTGCTTTTTTAAAAAATGAAAAAACAAAATACATATTTTTAAAAACGGTAACGTTTGAGAAGTCTGATGAAAGTACATTACGTACAATTTTATTCCCACACGGAAAAAAAATACTTCTGATTTGCTGAAATTGTATTTGTTGCTGTAATTAAAAATTTGCTATTGTAATCAAAATTTTTGCTACCGTCGCTGCTACATCGGTTTTATAACTAGATATATGCCAACTGACAACTATACTTTTAGACCCCTATATATTACAAGGAGATTTAGCTACCACACACACAGATTCTTGTTACCGCGGCTAATTCTTCCTTTCCGTAACATGTTTAGGGTTTCAGGATTAATTAAAAAATTTCTGTAATTGAGTTCCGGACCCGGTTTCGATATATTTCAGACGGTAGACATTGTCTACCTGCAAGATGAATGATTTTGGTTACGGAAGACGGAAAGCGAGTAACGACTGCCGCGGTAACATACGAGATGAACAGGAGGAGATGGAGAATCGAGGCAGAAACGGGGACACGAGGCCTGCGACTCTTAAACGATTGGACAGCATTCAGGATCCGGGGAAGAGATACGCGTTGAAGGATCGCATCGGTGTCGGCGTGTGCGGCGATGTCTACGAGGGGATCGACCAACAAGCTGGTACGTAACGAGAAAATATACGTAGCCTAATCCAATTTTAAATATTGGAGAACTATTACGTGTAGTGAGGAGTAACAGCTGTATTGATTATGTATGTTGGTGTGTGTTTTACAGGAAACAAAAAGGTCGCCATTAAGATCCAAGTACTTACGTCGGAGACACAGTCTTTAATTGTGGAAGAATATCGTATTCTTCGTGATTTCGCCGGCCATCCGAATCTGCCGGACTTCTACGGGATATACCGCAGACGGTCCTCGAAAAAATCCAACCACGACGAAATATGGTTCGTTATGGAGGTGAGTGCTAGTCAAGGTTACAATTAAACTATAAAAAATCTGCCTACACGAATAGTTCACATAATAATAATTATATGAATATGTTTTCATCGTTCGGCGGTTTTTCCTAAATTTGTCATTCTACCCAATTTTTCTTTGTCAAGATAAGTACTACACTTTGTCAAGACTTGTAAGTCTAGTACTCTCTGAATTTTTTGAAGAAGAATTTCACTCAAAATAAGTGAACAGTAGCAGTATTTTCACTCGAAGAATAGTGAAAATATTGCTAGTCGAAATCGCAAGAATAAATGTTTCACTCAAGTTTATAGTGGATTCTGATTTCATATAAGCGAACGTTTCAATCGATTAGTGTGAATATGTTCGTGTGAGAGTGGAACACAGTGAGTTGCAGAACGGTGAACATAATAAAGTTCACATAAGCGAGTTCACTAAACTGTCAAATTTAAGCGTCATTATCAACAGACTTATGTAATAATTAATGATATAATTAAGAGCATTAAATAATAATAATAATAATTAATGATATAATTAAGAGCATTAAATAATAATAATAATAGGTAATAATAATGAGAGAGAGATAGAGCGCAAAACTCGAATTATGGTGAGTGACTCGGTGATCATTCTATCTTTCAAGTAAGACTTCACTTCAAGAAAATTAGAAAGTATACATCATTTTCTTTAGCTTCTTCGAAAGTTAATCGTTTTGATATATTTATTAGTACATAAGTCACGATACGCATGCTCAATCGTATAAAGAACGACTTAGTACTGCGAATAAACGATTGCGTTTGTGAATCGACGGCTCGATTATTTCAAAGACATGTTATTGTTGCAATTACTGTGATTACTACATCGAAGGCTGGAATCGCAATGAAGTTTCTATCAACATCGCGCGCGATGTACCCGTTGCACGCCTCTCTTAACGTCGTAATTCTCTACGAAAGAGAGAGAAAAGAGAGAAAAAGAGAGAGAGAGGGGGGAAGAAGAAAAAGAGACGAGAGAAAGATGCAAAACGAAAGATGAAGGCAGAACGGAGGAGACCGAGGAGGAAAGGGAGAGAAAGCGAGGCCAGAAGCGAGGGTTGGCCATGTGTACCCGTGCTCTCAGGACCCGGAGGCAATTTCAAGCATTTGAGACCGTCGAATACACGGATAATTTACGACACGCGCGCCCCCATTAAACAATCATTAAACTCGTTCGTGTACGCAGGTGAGGCCCGGCACGTCGCGGCCCTAATTTACGGACGGACCTCCGCGGTGTGCGCCCGAAACATTATTACTTATCTCGGGTAAAGCGACGATAGTTGACGTAATACGCACGCTCGGGGATCGACCGACTTATCTTCGGAATCGGCGTCTTCTCGGCCACGCCTTTATCTTTCGAAACGCATCGCTGCACTGAACGCGCTTCACGAAGGTGACCGTGTCGAATTCGGCTACGTCAACTTTCTACGGGATTTATCCGACCTCACAGTGAGATACCGCGCTCTCACGTCATCAGAAGAATTACGCTGTCATGAGGAAACGCGGGGTATTAAAAGAAAAAAAAAAAAAAATCGAGAAAAAACCGATCGCGTCGAGAAATGTGTAATTTTCCTTCACTTGTCTAATCTGACAGGTGCAATCATCGTGCCTATTGCGAAAAAGAGAAATGTCGGTAATTCAATTCGCGAATTCACGATACCTCACACGCTACGCAAAACCACGTGTACGTACACAATTATATCCCTGACAAATCTCGTTTGTCGCGTGTCATTATCGCACACTCGACACCTACTTAAATCGCGCTCGCGTGTATTTTTTTCAGTATCGACCACCCGCATTCTCGAACGGCCTGCAGCCCACGGCGTCTCACGCGTAAAATTCAAAAGCGAACCGCGCGAGAAAACGACGCGAGATCAATCCGCCGTGTGAATCTCACGATCCACTTTGGCGAGCGAGCATTCGCGTGCGAGCCCTCGGAGACGAGGCCTAAGTACCTCGCGACGAAGAAACGTAATGAGTCGCCGGTCGCTAACGTTAAGCTCGTTGATTGCTCGTTGTCGGAGATTACAAGCAATAAAGGTGAAACGACGCAAGGCGAATGTGCGACGATGTGTATAAGGGAAATGGCGAGACGAAGAAGACGCGGCGCGCATCCTCGTCGACGATGCCAGCAGCCACCAAATAACAGTTTTGTGAGTTAATCGACTTTAAGTCGACGCGCGGGCAGACGCCAACATCGCGAATCGCTAGAGAAAGAGAAAGAGAGAGAGAGAGGCGAAAGAGAAACACGCAGCGACAATATAGTAAGGATTTATTGCCGGTGGTATTTCATATCGAGCGGGTTTTACGGGCGTATACACGCAGTAGGGTCCCTCGCGACATGCGTAGGGCCGCTATGAAAGAGGTTCTCTCTTCCCTGTTGCGCCTGACGCACGGTAGTGCGTGAATGCACCGAGTCTGTTGCATCGCGTGCGATGTGGCGTGGAGCGTACGAGCGCAATGCTATTCGCGATTAACTCACGCGCCGTTCAACGAACGTCGTATTTCAAGAGCGCACTGTGAGCCAATATAACAGAAGCGTCTTTAGACTGTATCGGGCGGTATATAGTCACACGTAAGCACAATTTGGCAAAAAACAGTGGATCTGATCGTACGATCAGAAAACCTTGTGTTGACACGAATGAAACGAGATTAGGAAAAGCGTGTACGCGAAAAGAACAACTCCGTTGGTGTAACTTGAATTTTTTGTTACCTGGCGACAACACTGAGAAAAAAATGTCGGGTATTTGTAATTATAATCACGTAGTAAAATAATTCTGGTATAATATTAGTGATGACTTTATATATAATTACTTTGCTAAATTATAATATAATTATTTTGCTAAAAAGAAATATATTTTAGGCCAAATGTAACTTTAGTTAAATCAACCATTTTTTTCTCTCAATGCAGATAAAAACTCGATTGTAAGAACAGAAAGATTCCTGTAAAAGGCTTCTATTCAGTCAGTTGCTCTCAACCGAGTTATCTCAATCGAGTTTCAATGCAGCTAAATGTTACAGATGAATGTTTTTGTTCACACTAATTATTTTTGGTTAACAAATCTTTCGTCTGTTCTGTTCGCCTGTGAACTGACGTTTTTTTTTCCATATGGAACATATATTATGGATAATATTAACAGTTTTGAAATTTGTCTCGAGTGAAATACTCAGAATAAAATTTAAAGTTAGATGTGAGTTTTTCTATTGAATCATAATTATAATTTTGCATATTGCATATATTATACGATTCAAACAAAAAACTCAAATCTGTCTGTAAATTAAAATCTGAGTATTTCACATAAGACAAGTTTCAAGTAACGACTATTAATACGAGTCTAAGGACGTGGAAGACGGTGAAGAGGCTTGTCACGACGCGCCGTATCGTGTTCACACGATAGCCGTATTCCGTAGTAATGCGTGGACGAGGCGCTGGATCACGTTTACTCAAGATTACAGCACGTTTCGTGTAATTGTAGTTATATGAAGTTTATTACGTTTCGAGCATAAATTCTGCTGCCAGTGCTTAATATCTGGAGGTACCTATTTATGAGAGTGATTTTTTCCTGACTGAAATTAACTTGTGCGCGCAAAATCTAACGGATGAATAGCTAAAAACAAAAATATTTAAACAAAAATCACCTCGAAAAAGAGAAAAGAAATCATGACTACTTCCGTAATTAGGATGACATTTTTAATTAATGCATGCGATTATCATTACACATGACAGATTACGGCGAGAAAATTGATGGTTATTGCACGATCCTCGTCATGATGAGCCGTGAATCGCTCGTCATGTTTGTAACGAGCTCGAGCCCATAATTGTGCTGCTAATTCCTCGCATTTCGTTACTTTTTACAGCTCGAATTTACCACTATAATTAGCTAAAAGCACGGTGTTGCGTGTTGCAGCTGTGCGAGGGTGGAACGGTCATGGATCTGGTCCGCGGGATGATCGCGAGAGACAAGAGAATGCAGGAGGAGCACATCGCTTACATCCTGAAAGAGGTGATCAAGGTAAGTCGAGTCGCGGAGAACGCGGCGATAATCGCTTCGTTCGACGATACTGCCAAAATCATTCGCGAGACGTGAAAGTTAAGACGACTCGACGGCCCTCGAAATATAGACCTTCGAGGAAACGTATGACACGACAGGGATTAAAATTAATTAACAGAGATACACGACGATCTCGGTCGAGATAACCGAGGTGAGAGGCGCGCCTCATAAGACGATCAATTATATATATATCGTCGATCGTTATAACGCGAAAATATCCGACCGGCCCGAAAACAGGTGAGCCCGACTGAGGTAATTAGTTTTTGCGCCGGTACGGGGAGATATATACGTCAGCGGCCGAGAAGGATGGCCGTCGCGCGGAATGTCCGGCAAAATTGTACCGCAATCTACCCTCTTCTCGTCGTCTCCTCTCGTCACCCCTCTTGTGATTGTAATAAATATTACCCCACGCGCGCAGGGAGGGGGGCAGAGTGGCACCGCGCGGTGAACCAACAGAAATGATAATAGCAGGTAGCGACGGCAATAGTCGCGTTATTACGATATAATTATGCCCGATGGTATGTCCCGGCGATGCTTTTATCTCGCGGCAGATTATCCCGCTGATTGCAGAAGATGCATCAGCGCCGAAACGAATCCGCGTTGTAATTAAGAGGTATGGAAAAACTGCGCGCGTTCAAAAGCGACTGTGCGGCCCGTGCAAAAACGTGCGTCTTACTCGTAATTATAATAGTCGCAGCTGGAATTCGAAAGGAAATGTCAAGGGGCCCTCGCTTTTGGTGGCAATACAGAAAATTGTGGGACAACCACGTGGTAATTACACGATCGCGTGTAAAAACAGTACGCTCGAGAGCACGTGAATTCGCTAAAATGTGCAAATTCTATCTGTACGCAACGAGTCAGAGAGAATAGCCGCGTTCATAAAATATTTAACGTTAACAATTTTGTTGCGTGACAAAATTTGATGCAACGAATTATTCCGAACGAAATAAATTAGGAAGCCTGATTTATTCTCGTGCGCGAGGCAGCTGTGATTTAATTTGATTTACTATTTATTAAAAAAAAAAGAGAGCTTTTTGAAAGTGATATTTGTATTTCGTATGTTTTTCACTTTATGCGTTCAATTTAATCTAACCTACGGACTGAAACTGAATGAAGCACGGCTTATAAATAGAACGCGTAAATTACAAGGACCGACGAAGGTGCACGCCGATAGGCCGCATTCTCCGGCGTAGAAATTACAAATAAGACAGGTGAGATGCGGCTCGCTAATTAACCTTCTCGCGTATGAGAAGCTGCCCCTTGATGATCCTCTCACTCATACAACCACCTCGGCATCCACTCAAGATCAAGAGCGCGCAGAGTACTCGCGCTGCCTCGTTCTCTTGTCGCTTACATCTGTATTTTCGTTAGCGACGCGTAGAACCAGCCGATTGTGCGAGCGATATTACCGACAGCGCTCTACCGCGAAATTGCCGACGCGTAATTTCGAATTACTCGCACGCTCTGCTACGTCAAACGATGTCGCTCTAATCTCACCCATGTTTACATATATTCATACGTGCCTATAACCTGAATATCAGTACGATTATTTGAGCTTACAGCTATAAATGAGAGGAGGTACAGGATGATTGGAAGCTAAGATGAATAATAATTCAATCACCGAGTCGATGCTGTGATCGATGCCATTGACCGTTGCTCCAGGCAATCATTATCTTGCGTTCACTCACTTATTACTCGCGTACCGGGCGCTCACTTATTACTCAGTCAACGCGCGGATGCATATTGGTCGGATATAACGCGACTGATCACGATTCCTCGTGCTGAAGTGATTGCACGACGATTATTCGCCACCTCACATCGAGCCGGTCAAGACGCGCCGCGAACGAAACGGAACTACGATTCGCGGGTCGGCGCGAAGTTGGCGCCATACAATTCGATTCTCAAATGCTCTGCGGTACGTCACACAAAATGTCGACCTAACCCTTCCCCTCCCACACATACATATACATACGTGTGTGTACCTCAATATAAGTACGATTATTAGACTTCAAAGCGATAATTAGAGGAGACAGAAGTGATGTGAGATAATTGGAAGCTAAGATAAACAGTAATTCACTCACCGTTCGAATAGCCGTCGATGTCGTCGTCTCGTCGATCGTCCCGTTGCTCCGGACACTCGTTATTACATTTATTCATTTATTGCTCGCGTATCGGCCACTCACTTATTATTCAACGCGCGATCGTATAATGATCGGATATAACGCGACTGATCACGATTTCGCATATTGGTCGAAGCGATACAAGACGATTATTCGTCACTTCATATCGAACTGATTAAGACGCGCCGCGAACGAAACGGAAATGCGATCCATAAATTGGCGCGAAATGGCGCATAATTCGAAAGTTTGATTATGACTTGCGCGTATTACAGAGAAGTAATTTCGTCTGAATTTATATTTCCTTGGATTTGTGACCTTATTACTGTGCAATTACAATGTTTATTTGCACACGCAGAATAGTATCATTAAATCATAATCGTCGACATATAATCAATTTTTATTATTTAGAAACTTTTCATATGTAATATCTCGCTCTCCTAACACAGACGATACATAAAACACGTTTGATCTCGCCTTTGCGAATCTGAATTAATCGTTAAATTTCTGTAAGAAATATGTAGTTGTGTCGATATCTTGGCCGAAACGTTACTTATGCAGGAGTAAATTAAGAAACTCGATGATATTGCCGTATCATTTACCATAATAAGCAAATCAGCAACGAATCAGCAGAGTTCATATCCAGCGCAAATATCCGCTTTTTCGCTTCGATTATTATTAACATTAATGAGTGATGCGATTAACGTCGCGATAAATTTCGACGGCCGCATTAATTGAATATTATCCTCATTTACGAATCATAAAACGTAAGCCGTGCTGTTAATTTCTCCGCGAGTTTCGAGAGAAAAGGTAAGAATTGGCGTGCGGCGAGTACACGAAACGAGTCGGAAGCGGATAACGCGAACGAGGCAAACTAACATAAGACAAATGCTTGAGCAAGAAAAACGAACAGCAGCAAAGAAGACGAACAGGCAGTAAGAAGGAGGAAAAGTCAAGGAGGAACGCGATACGAAGAGAAAGGGAGACAGAGAGAGCTAAACGATCTTCCGTTTCGTAGGCTGCTGCGATTTTAGCTTAATAGTTAATAGTCACGGCAGACGGATTCGCTTATTTACAATGATACAACCTTCCATGATTCCGGTCTCTCCTAGGAGGTCGGATAATTGGCGAGGATATCGTGCTCATTTCTCAACGGACCTAAGAAGCAGCCCCACACACGTGTGCTCACGTGTGCGTTCATGAAGAGGGAAAAATAAAGAAGAGAATCTCGAAAAAAAAAAGCGAATGACCGAGGCACGCCACAGGATGAAACCTAAGTGACCGTTTCCGCTTCGATTCGTGTGTCACTGATTTTCTCTTCATAATGTTCACTGCGTTTCTTGCTTGTACCTTTATCTGCTATCACTCGTACACGCGGAATGGAGCTAATCCTGGAGCCATAATAAGGGCCACTCGGTGCTCTGACTGCGATCATACGATACGGTAGATCGAAATAATTGCAGACCTGTAACGACAACATCACTTATTACTACCAGCATGCGTTTGTGTTGCTATAAAATCGCAAAAATATTACTATAAAGTCGCAAATCGACAATCCATTTTTGTGACATTAATTTCATTTCCTTTCCCTCTCCAATAAACAGTAACTATCAACACCACAACCATAAAATCAGTAAACACTAACATAAAATCAATGTTATAATTCAACAATGTAAGTGCAATATAACGCTAGTGTTATTTAACAATATTGAGATAATGTCACTGTCAGGTGATTGTGTTTACCGGACCCCTTTCTCTTTCTCTTCAGTCTAGTCTAAAGTTTATGTACTCTGTCGTTAATGAACTTTCGTCCCTCTCGAATATCGATATTCCTCTCGAAATCCACTTATCTCGCCGTAGAGGTCCCCGAGGGAGCGCGGCGAAAGGGCACGACGTGCGTAATGGGCCCGGCATTCTTTCTGCCGCGAGTGGCTCATGGCTCACGGCGATAATATTTACGATCCGGGCAGTTTGTCACTAAATCATTATGTGGGTCCAGCATTGGGGTACGCTTCGTGCACGCATAATCCGACGCCCTTCGCCACCGAAGGGGCCCGGGGCTCCCCGCCGGCCTCCCAGGGCTGCCCACGCCGTGCCTGTCTCTACCTTGAAAACTGCACGCAACCCCCGTCTCCCGCTTTCCTTTCCCTATCTCCGTCTGCCCCTTACCCTGGTGGATACGTGTTCCACGAGCCCGGTAGCGATTCGTCCACGGTCACTCGTGCGGTAAATCAGACCACGCTGACGTTTAATGCCGGCAAATTACACGCGAAATAAATGCCCGCGAAGAGCGGTGCGCGCGAGCGCGCACAGTGCTCGAAACAGAAACACAAAGAGAGCACAGGAAAGGGATAAGGAACGAGAGACGAATGGAGACTACCGCTGCGCTTCTTCTTCTTCTCCCGTATGATCGTTACATCCCGTTGGATCTTTATCCGCCAATTAAGAATTCGTTCGTCTTTCCCTGCCTACCGGCTTTCTTGCGCGCCATCCGGTTACTGATGATTCGTTAGCGATTCTCTGGTTTTGCGTCTCGTTTTCGAAGAAGATCGCTGATTATATTGTCTAAAAAAAATATTAATTTACTATACTATGTCGTTGTTACGAGAACACGAGTACTTCCTACCCGCCTAATATTGAGATCGCTTATCGCAATGTTAATCAAGAAGAAAACAAAACAATGAAGTATGCACTTATATTAAAATAAGAAGAAAAATACAATGTCCATTTGTTTTCTGATAAGTTAAAAATTAGTTGAAAAACTCACTCCACAGAGATGATGGAGGAAAAAAATTCGTTAAATGCAAGTTATGAATTTGCCAAAGATCAATGAGACATGTTTCGTTTAGCAATTTTAAAAGAGAACGGCCTCGGTGTGCGGAATACCTTTTGAAACGTGATTCTGCGATGAGTCGGGTATTAATGATTTCATGCCCATGCCACATGAACGGAGCCGCTCACTGACCCGTGCTTGTTACGCGCCGTGAGCGCGGTCGGCCGCAAATTATAGATCGTTCAATTTGCAGTAAATCTATAAAGACGATTCTCTCAAGACACTATAGGTGCCGAGTTAGCAACTTCTCTTCCGTATTGTTGGTACCTCGCGTATATTACATTGCGCGGTATTCCAACTCGCGTTTGTTCGCGCGAGACTCAAGTCCGCCTGATCTTGGCATAATTTTTACAATGCTTCTCGCTTGTCAACTTTAAAATTAGCTAGCTTTGTGCAATCGCTAAATCATCACGATAATAATGAGAGTTTCCTGTGGAAATAAAAATCAATCACTGTTTTAACATGCCTTTGCACTCCTTAAAATACAACTTGTATTTTGTTGTTTTATTTGATAAAATGATTTGTGTTAAAAATTTGATTTTAGTGGAAAAACTTACACGCGACTACAATGACGATGTTAAAATCAAGTTTTTTCGACATATTTTTATTTCTGCTCAGGCTTTAATTCACCTGCATGAGCACAACGTCATCCACAGAGACATTCGTGGCAACAACATCATTCTGACGAAGGAAGGCGAAGTGAAGTTGGTAGACTTCGGGCTCTCTAGGACGCTAAAGAACGAGCTAGAGAGACGATATACGTGCATAGGATCGCCGTCCTGGATGGCGCCGGAACTCATCGCCGGCAAGGGCAACAGAACCGACAGCGGATACGACAGTCGGGTCGACATATGGGCGATCGGCATCACGGCAATAGAACTGGCCGACGGCAAGGCGCCCTTCCAGGACATGCATCCGACACGAGCGCTCTTCCAGATCGTCCGGAATCCACCGCCGACGCTCTACCGACCTGCCAACTGGTCGGGCAATCTCAACGACTTCATCTCCGAGTACGTGACCAGCCAGATATATGAAAATCTCTCTCTATTGCGTGGAAAGCGACAGTTCACGCCGCTACTATGTTCGTTTCAGATGCTTGGAGAAGAATCCTGAGAACAGACCGTACATGATGGAGATCATCGAGCATCCCTTCTTGTCGGAGTTGCCTGAGAACGATTACCCGGTAATCTGTGATTTCAGGATGAGCAATGAAATTTCCTGCGGCTTCTTTGGGATTCGGCAGAACTCTAAAAAATACGCAAACTCAATGTTTTTACCTCATAAAGTCACATTAATTGCCAAAAACTATAGAGATTGTAATATAATGAATAAAAAAGAAAGTTCATTATTTTATCAGCGATAAAAGTCATAAAACATTATTTTTACTTTAAACTTGTTGTCTTAAACAAATAGCCTCAATATAATTTTTCTTTCGATGTCCACAGATCTATAATTTAATCGACATAAATTCTTATTTCTGATCGCCAAAAGAATAAAAATACAACGTGAATTTTTAGTTGACGCAAGAGATCAAAGCGCTAACGATGGACGTTTCGGAGAAGGGCAAGGAAGGAAGGAAAACGGAGTCAATAGTACATAAAGGCTTCTTGAAGGTAACAACGAGAAAGAAATCACGAGATAAATTGTGAATCGGCGCCCACAATGTATTGTTAAATAAAAAAACTCACTCTGCTCGACAGACTCGTCAAGAAGAACCACCAGAGCGAATGCTCACGGAAGATCTCGCAGCGCTCGACATCCTAACCGAAGACGTGATCCTGGATGAACTCCGCGAAAGACTACAGCGAGGTGAATATCACACATTCATCGGTGACGTTCTACTGATACTCAACCCGAACAAGCAACACGATATCTATGATGCTCATGTGAGTTGCACGTTGTTTCATAAGACTACATTGATATTGAACATCACGCACTAAATTAGCAGAATAAATACAAAGAAATTATAGACTCTCTGACTTATTAGTACATTTTCGTAAATGGTAACAAATAATTAAATATAACTAATTCATGCAGTATCACGCAAAGTATCAGTGCAAATCGCGATCGGACAATGCTCCGCACATCTATTCTGTGGCGGACAGCGCGTTCCAGGACGTGATGCATAATGAAGAGCCGCAACACATTTTGTTGGCTGGTGAGAGCAACTCCGGAAAAACGACGAATATGTTGCATCTAGTGAAGCACCTCGCGTTTCTCGGGAAAGTAAGTTCAGTGTGCATGTTCAACAAAGTAGACGATACAATCACGAGAAGATCTGTTTGCAAATCTTTTTTCTCTTTAGGGTATGCACGACACCGGAATGAAAATAATGCGGTCTATAAAAATAATTCATGCGTTTACAAACGCGTCGACACCGCTGAATGCTAACTCCACCAGATGCATCATGCAAGTGCAGACGACTTTTGGCTCGACCGCAAAAGTGTCGGGTGCGATATTCTGGTTATATCAATTGGAAAAGTGGCGTGTCTCTACTCGCGACAGGTATATTTATTAATGAAAATAGTTTTATAATGATATCGTGATATCAGAGGTTTTTAATCTAGCCGAGTAAATCGAAGCACAAAGTGTCAAAGGATATGTTGTATTTTTCAATGTATAACAAGTTATCACATAGACGTATAATCCTTTATAAACAACTTGTCACAACATAAGAATAGAAAATAATAAGGAGAATTAGAAATAAGATAATAATAATAAGAATTAGGAAACAATAATGTTAAAAATATTAAAACTAATAAATATCTAAGAGATATAATAGAAGAAAAACATTATAAAAGTTAAAATATTAGAAGAATTAAAAAAATAATAAAAAGAAAGAATAATAACTTAAAGAGAAAGAGAAAAAAATTGTGTTACATTATATAATAATTATATTGATTATTTTTATAGAAATCAATCAAACTTCCACGCCTTTTATTATTTCTACGACGGCCTGGAAGCGTCGGAAAAATTAAAGGAATATTATCTATCAAGCGGAAGAAGACTTCGATACCTCAGAATAACCGACAAGAGCGCCGAGAAGAAACGAGCGTTCAAAGTACGAAACGAGCCACAGAATAACGCGCTCAAATTCGAGAAACTTATAGAGGATCTCAAGTTTATGGATATGGAAGAGTATTGCGAGATTATCTGGAAAATCCTCGCAGCCATTCTGCTTCTCGGAGAGATTCGATTCGTCGAGGGCAATAACGGGGAAGCTGAATTGGACAACAACGAAGTCGCTAACAGAGGTAAAAAATCAAATCTGAAAATGTTCAATGTTTCTTGACATCTCTCGAAATCTATTTAATCTATGAACTCAAGATTAATAAACTGTTTCATCTTGTAGTGGCGGAGCTTCTTGGTCTAGACTCGAAAAAATTTATTTGGGCTCTTGTTAATTACTGCTTAATCGTGAAAGGATCGGCAGTGCGCAGAAAACATACTCGTGAAGAAGCGAAGGAGGCACGGGACGTCTTGGCGAATACTCTTTATCAGCGTTTGGTGGACTGGATAGTCAATAGCATCAACTATAAACTCGCAATGACTCGTAGCCTTTAGTAAGTTATGTGGAAATTCGATGAAATCGCGATGTAAAGAATAAATCTCAAAGTAAATAGATGTTTTAGCATTTTATAATCTTACCTTGGTTTTTCTAATTCGAATTTCTTCCAGTGGCGATAAATATTCCATCAGCATCCTCGATCTCTTTGGATTCGAGTGCTTCTCGGTGAATCGACTGGAACAACTGGTGGTGAATACGATGAACGAGCAAATGCAATACCATTACAATCAAAGAGTATTCGCCTGGGAAATGGTAAATTCCTTACGTTGAGTCCTACAGTAGGAATATCTTTTTTAATAAGCTGGAAAATACAATTTGATAAAATTTAAAATATCTCAATTTCTCATGTCCACATTCAACGTTTACCGTGGCTTCAGCAAGAGCAGGAAGAGGAAGACATACCCATACAACGTTTGCGCTTCTACGACAACAAGGAAGCGATCGATCAATTGATGGGCAAGGAGAACGGGCTCTTTCACATCATCGACGTCGCTTCGCGGCAACTGCAGGACGCTCAATACATCCTCGAGAGAATCAAGGAGCGTAAGCGCGGCGTTCACGTAAGACCAGTAAGCTCGCACGAGTTTACGGTCGCCCATTACACTGGAAAGTTGATATATGATGCCAGTGAGATCGCCAGTAAAAATCGGGATTTTGTACCACCAGAGATGATCGGCACGATGAGATTCTCGTCGTACGATGCGGTCAAGCAAATGTTCACTAACAAGCTCACCAAGTCAGGCAATCTGACAATCGTTCACGAGCATCGCGCTGCGACAGAGAAAACATCGAGAAATAAGTGGGGTGCTCTTATGCAGGAATCTTCGAATCTTCGAGTAGGTGACTACGATAATTATATACGGTAGATTTCTAATTAAAATATTCGATAACTAATTTTAAACTTCAATAACAGATTGTTTGGCTAATTTAAAGTTGATTTTTTCTCAACTAACATTTCAAGTTTTAAAGTTAAAAGCATCTCCGTGATGAAGAACTTTTTATGAAACTTGCAGATTACAATTACAATCAAGTCTGGTTTTTCTCTCAAATCCAACAGAAATACAATACTGCATCCAGAGGACAGTACTCGCAGACGCGGAAGATGCGAACGAGCTCGTCGACATTCAGAACTACGAGTCTCGAGATTCTGAAAAATCTCGCGGTAGGAAGCGGTGGCATGCATTTCATTAGATGCATACGCTCCGATCTCGAGGACGTTCCTCATGGCTTCTATCGCGAGGTCGTCAAACAGCAGATCAGAGCGCTGGCGGTTCTGGATACAGCAAAAGCCAGGCAACGCGGTTACCCATATAGGATATCTTTTCAAGAATTCATACGAAGGTACTTCAATACGAAAATAGCGATTGAGTCAAACATGACGAGTTGCAAAAACATTTTATCAGCTTCAATATTAAGTTCATGCACAGATAATTATTTTCTATTACAGGTATAAGTTTCTAGCCTTTGATTTCAACGAGACGGTCGAGATGACGAAGGACAATTGTCGGCTGCTTCTGATCAGATTGAAAATGGAAGGCTGGATCATCGGTAAGACCAAGGTGTTCTTGAAGTACTACAATGAGGAATATTTATCACATTTATACGAGACACAAGTGAGAAAGATTGTAAAAGTGCAGTGCATGATGCGTGCTTTCCTAGCGCGCAAGAACATCGCCTCAAAGATCACTAACGTTAAGAAAGAAATAGGTGAGCAAACATGCAATCGTACTAATAGTGAAATTACTTCGCCATTTATTCGTGTCTTGATATTATATATATATATATATATATATATATATATATATTTGCAATTTAAATATTCTTGTAAGTCGTTCAATATTTGGATCACACTGTTTCAGTGAAGAAAGCGTCAATCAAGAGAAAAGACTCGACACTCACGGAGGATAAAGCGGCAGTAATGATACAGAAAGGTGAGTGACCAAGAGTAACTTTGATTATCGATTCATGTGATTTGAATTTTAGTTATTTTTCGTAATGATGCTTACTTGACAATTCACGACAGTCACATGTTTCAAAGATCAAAGTCATTTTTTTCCGAATTGTATAATTCCAAATTTTTGGGAGGATAGTATGTTCAATAATTGAAGTTAAATAAAAATTTAAAAAGCATGTAAGTAAAAGATATTATTGAAAACGTACTCCTCAGCGTACAGAGGACACATGGTGAGAAAAGAAATAGGCCCGTTAATCAAAGGAGAAATGGACCAAGAGACGAAGGATTTCATCAAGTTTTACAGCAGTAAATGGAGATCGAAGAGTATATTCCAAGTTCTCCTACGATATCGTGCAGCCCGTTATCAAGACCTCGTGCAATTATCCCAACAGGTATTATCGAGATATTCAAGCGACTCATTCATAGAAAAAGAATTTTACATTATTTCAAACTGGACGACAGGTTCACCTGTACAATCAATCGCTAGTGGCAGCTTTAAAGAGCGCGAATGAACGGGTGTCTCTCGAGAAAGTCGACCCAGGCGCTAAGGTAGACGCTTACATAAGCGAGGTGAAACCTCCCCAGGTCCACAAACTACCCTTCAACATGCAACAAGAGCTACCGTACTTCGATACGAGCTACATGAACGATCCTTCGAGCGCGAAAATGAAACGCACAGGGTGAGTCGCGGCTAAAATATCCTTCAACCTTTGGCCTTTGTTTGTTTGTAGCAACAGCCTGAACCATACGTCGAGTATCCTACTTTACACGACCTCGATAATACTAACACACGCAGAGACGGAGGGTAACTTCTCTTGCAGATTCGTTCTGTCTTTCTTCCTATTTCCTTGCCTTCTACATGTCAGTAGTTCTGTCTCTTTGTGCGTATCGTGCCGTCTTTGTTGAAGAAGTAGGAGTCGTCTAAGGACCCTTTCGGATATGAGATCAACTGAGAGAAAGACGTTATCGCAGATCTATATCGTCCACGATGAGCGATGATGAGCACGAGCCGTGGGACGCACCTTTGCGCAGGCAAACCGTTCCATGGGCAAACAACAACGTTCATACGAGAGGTACACGGCGATATCATCATATTTCGACATTAAGTTTCACCTAAACACTTAGGATGATAAAAAGATACTCATTAGTTTTATCAAGTACGACTTGACAAAAAATATAAAAGCAACAAGACATTAAATTTATTCTTTCAGATGCCCAGGTGCAAACGACCAATTCGCCCCATCATGTGTCTCTTCATCGCACGTCGGTCGGCGGGGAGCAAAGCTTGATCAATACTCCGTTCACCAGAGATCCCAATGTCCCGATTCAATGTCCACCGGAGGATACGTCCCGCCGCAATAGCACTCTCGGTTATCAGCCGCTTTTGAACAAACGCGGCTCCACACAACTCTCTCATATTTCTGATTCTCATATTTCTTATTCTGTAAGCTCGCGACTAAATGAGATTTTATCAACCACTTTTAAGTTACGTACAACTGCGTGTAAAACATTTCTATTTCATGTAGAATAACATCAATAGCGTTGGATCATTACATTCCAAGAAAATATTGCCACCATCGATCCCGTTCAATCAAGCGCAATCCTTGGCAATGCGTAATTTCAACAACTACGAGTCGGACATTCAAAACAAAAACAACACGGACAACGGAATGACCGGCTGGGATTTCGAGGATCAAATCAATCGCAATATCGGCAATAATATTCGGTGCGACACCATCGCGAAAACGAATTCTCGCTGATGCGATGAATTCTCTTTCTCTAACAAGATTTTCTTTCTTACGTTGTAGCGTGAATCCCATCAAGGAACTGGAGATGATCGGGCGCAGAAGTAACAATGACGAGAACGACGACGCACCTCCGTTCAACTTTCAGGTAAGACGCATCCCTTTTTACACTTCTATTTTCGCTACAGACTCCTATGCACACAGGTTTATTTTATAGCCTCATTGATGTGATCCATCGGTTATATCAATGATTAAAAAATAGACCTACCCGGCTCATCGATCGTTGTTATTCTAGGCGATGCTACGAAAGACTCCTCACCACCGAGCCTCAATGAAACGCAATCCCGTATACGAGAGCGTCACATCATCGTCGATGCCGCAGCATTATCGTCTTAGCAACGAAGATGACCCGTGCGACTCGAGTATCGTCTGCAAAAGCGCTGGCAGTCGTAAGGACTCGCCTGAATGGAGCCCGAACGAGATGATCCTCATGTCAGAGAAGTACGCGAAGCAGGATGCGTGGGACGCGGAATGCGCCACCGACGGTGACAGCGTCACTACAGAGATTGCACCGGGCATTGTTGTAAAAGGCCATGTGGCTGAACTATAAAGCATTCGTCCAGAGATCAGTGTTGTGTCGCGAAGATCAGTTAACTCCAACTATGCTCGTTTATTGAACGTTCTCTCTATGTCTGCCGTATCTCAGATTATCACCTGGGAAAGGAAAGATCGTTGATTAGAATTTATCGAAAATTTCCAATGCAAATGATTCTTAGTAAAATTGTCAGTTTTATCTACTAATCGATCATTAAAACGAATGTTGAATTCTAAATTGTATGACGAAGAAACATTAACCAGGAAATACATAATTATCGATAAAGTAATTCTGATGGAATAGAGAATGTGAAATGAGTAATTTTCCTTATTAATATGAAAGAAATGATAGATATCCTAAGAATAAACTTGTCTGTCATAATCTAAATGTAATAGATAAAAGTAAAATGATATTATTAGCATCAACATTAGCAACAAATAAATATGCACGACTAAGTTCACAAACACGTTATAATTAATATAAATATAGATATATTTCTCTTCGTAAAAATGATTAACCTAGTATAATTTTTAAGAAACAAACGATAAATCAATCTCTCACAATACGTCGGAATGTTTTATTCCCCTTGCATCAGTGATTTGATGATAAAATTTAAGATGATATAACAATTGCTCTGCATTATATACATACTGGCCATGTTTAATCTTTAGGCTGCTGGCATTTTTCATTAAAAAAAGTATTTTTTTTCTCAAAAACTTTTCTATATAAATAACATACACATGGCACAGAATTTTGAGATTTGTGCAAAGCCATAAAAGTGGCTTTCGCGGCAGTCTAAAAGTTAATAACTTAAGCATATATAAAATATAACATATATAAATATATGGAAGAATCATATGAGCGCGATGCTTTAAGCAGTTAGTTCAGCAACATCACAGTAGTACAAGTATAGTACGTATATAGTACAAAGACATGGATCATATTACATTTTGTCATATTTTTATATATTCAATCTCATAACAATATCCTTCAGGTTGTTCTTTTTGTCAAAGTTTGAGAATGACAATTTTGACTCAAAAATAATAAATAATGATATAACGTACGTCTTAAATTCTCACATACACACGCATACATGACTGTGGGCGGATATATTAATATATCTTAAAGTAACGTATAAATATTAATTAAAAATACATTTTATATTTATGTAACTGTCTGAAATTTTCGAGTAAAAATATAAATTTTCGTATAAAAAGATAATTTTGCATCAACTTCGAACATAACAATTCACTTCTTGGAAAAATCTGTGGATTTTATCAAAATAAAAAATTAACAGAAAAAAGTCCTCAAAACACGAGAGATTGTAAGCGTCACTCGTGCTCGATTTGCGATAGTCTACTCTTTGTCTGGTTGAGCGGACTCGTGACTGTTATTCTGTTGAGAACTCTGCTTGATGATGTTGACCAATGTATCCAATCTGGTAGGATGTGCTATTTGCAGAACCATGTGCGCCTCTTCCAAGATTAAGAGACCATTGTGTGCGTCGCTGGCCGATAGATTGTGCGCTGATATCACGTGCCGTCTCCAGGCCGCGTGCGTAGGGAGAACCTAAAAATTACGGAAATAAAATATCATTCGTCACGAAAAAGACGCAAAATGGTTAATGATACAATTCATCGCGGCTTCGTTGTGTAACGAACGAAGGCGAAAGGCTCACTTGTAAGCACCACTTGCAATTGAGGGACGGTGAGATGGTGTGGACAGCTTTTATATGCCTTCTACGAAAACCCCAGCTCGTATACGCTCTATCGCAAAAAGGACACGGGAACGGTGGATAAGCCGGCCCGCCTTTTATCATTTCTTCCGACAGATCCGTGCCGTAGGACTCGGCTAACGCAGAGAGGCCGGGCTGCGAGGCGCCCGGACTGTGTCCCGCGAAGAAACCCGAGGACTCAGCTTGATCGAACGCTTGCTCACCATGAAAATGACCCCGCGAGTCAGACGGTAGCGGGTCTTCCGCGTACTTCGAGGTGTCCCACGGAGAACTTTGTTCGACTGCGAACGGATCTGTTTCGTGTGTCTGCGGATCTGGAGAAGCATGACGAGCCTCGGCTATCACCGTCACAATCGGCTTCGACGAGGACGCTCCTGTAAAGAATGTTTGCCAGTCATTTGAATCGTTTTCTTCATAAGTAAAACTCAGTGTTGACTATAAGCTAAGTATCGATCGGTGTGTTCGTGTGTGTGACTGGTATGATATAATTATAAGTAACTATAACTAATAAATATAACTTACTCGACGTGATAGTCGTGATCTCTTGATTTTGCTTCTCTCTACTTGCGCAAGACAATAATATTTCGCACAATAAACATTGCCGTTGATCCCAATTTTTCGCATTAACTTAAAGTAATAATCGTGACTTACAAAGTATAAATAACAGTTTATCCGCGAGAAACCGTCGCTCTTACAAATATCGCAAAACGCAGCTTTTGGTGATACTTTCGCATAAATAATAATCTCACGTAATATGCGAAAAGAGAGAAGGTACATCAGAAATGAGAAGACAATTAAAAATGTAAAATAGGTTTATTTCCGACCAGTCGTGTATCTCATCTACAATAGTATCGATTTAAATAATAATAGTCGACCCGATAATGATCAACGCCGGTATCGCGCGTAACCGAATAAAAATGACTCGAATTCACGTGAAATAAAGTAAATGGAGATCAACAGACGCTTTCGCGCGAATCTCGAGAATGATCAAAATCGCACGTAATCGCAACGTATATATCCTAATTCGGAGATGAAAGGCCAATTCAAATCGGATTACAGATGTAAATGTGCGAACATTCTCAATAGCAATTGCCGTAAAGAGTGTCAAACGTTTTAGCTCCGCCGAAAATGAGTAAGAGCGAGACAATACGTTGCAGAGCATGTCAGCAATGAATCGCAAAGTTTGGCATTTTGACAACAGCAACAGATCATCGACGTGAACGTTCACGCGTTTACATCCGCAGCCTAACTCCGATATAACGTTTCTCGCCCGAAAATTACAATTGCATTACATACATATTCTAATAGTTCGTGGCGCATATAGCGACCCTCCGCGCGCTGGCGATTTAAATAATCTACAAGCATGTCTTAAATCACTATTCCTGTCGTAAGAACTACGAAGTTTTTTTTCTGCCTTCTTTAAGTGTACATGAAGAGTTGCCGTTGTCGTACAACGTGCGTTCACGCACGCACGCGCGTGCGTGACCAGCACGACCGTGACCGACACGGCCGAATCACACATTCTCGTGTTACGTGTACATATATGTACATACATACCATACATATACCTCTAAGTGAGTACGTGTACGCGTGTGTTCATGCCTGTGCACATATAGGATGGCTCAAAATTCGCAGGATGAAAACGTCGCAGTGGGGAAGTCCGTGGAAATGAGCGATGAAAGTGCATGTGATTCTGTTCTTCTTTTATTCCAATCCAGTTTCGCTCTTCAAATACAAGAGATTCAGTGATCGCGTACTCGGCTTTGCACAATATGGCGGGATCTACGAAAAAGTGAACGTAACAACTACACGATCTCTTTTTTTCTGATTTTAATATTAAGAAACATACATGAACGGGCGCGCCTTTTTCACTCAGTTCCTCAGGGTGTACGAGAAACTCGTCATCCTCGAATGTTGAGACATCTTGTACACACGACGTCACAGGTGCCCGAACATTTACTAGATCGAGAGTTACATAATTCTGAGTCTTACATATAATATTTGAGATTGAAAATCGCATAAATAACTCTGATTATGATAGAGTTATATATTGATATTAATTATAACGATTTCAATTCTATTCGTACACGCATAAAGCCGAAAATCCTGTAACATTCCCTCTCAATCTAGAGAATGTTCGGGCATCCATGATGTCGTGTGTACACGACGCATATACGCACAACGAATGCGTGCCGCATAAAGTATATATATACACGCGTACTCTATCCGTGTATTAATAATGCGTGAGCGAGTACGTGATGTGTGTATATCCGAGTGCGAGAGTGAGTGAAAGAGCGAGATAGAGGGTGAGAGCAAGAAAGAGAGAGACAGAGCTATTCGCGTGTCTCTCTCCGATATACGCCGACTTAATAATATCATGTCGTCTTTACCGCCGAGAAGTGAGTTCTCGTATGAAACATACCGCAAATAAACGTTAAGGAGGAATGTTACGTTATTCGAAGTGCCATACGAAAAACACAACAAGGTACACAGGCAGCTGGACGATTGACCTCGCTCTCGCGAGCGCGTCGTTAATAGTAGCGGTGGTGGCGGTGGTGATGGTGATGATGATGTTGTTGGTGGTGGGGGAGATTCCTTAAAGTACGCGCGGTGTGCGAACGCGAAAGAAGGGGACGCGCCAGGAGAGATCGAACAAAGTTCCCCGGGGTGTTACCCCCTTCGACAAGGTGGAAATAATAACGAAACTACCGCGGAAGGCTTAGAATTATTATTCGTACGTCCGCCGGCTGCGCCGAGCGCGGCGAACGTGAAGCGTATTTATAAATAACTCTCGATCGCGATCTACGATGCACCTCCTAAGATCACACCCTGTCACCCCGAAGTCTACAATCTAAAATCGTCGTCGCGGATCGGAGCGCGCGCAATGTATCCGCTCCGATGCCTATTGCACGTATTCGAGTAATCCGCGCGAATTTCTTTCACAGTCCACACCGGCCGGCCCGATCGTCCGTCCCTTCTTCCCCCCGTTAACGGCTACGCGCGCGCGTTAAACCTAATTATCTACTTACATCGATCTTTTTTACAACGTTCTAAAACGCGAAAGCGCGAAAGCTCACACCGAGGAGGAACGAGCGAGGGACGAGCCTCGCGACGGTTCCGCATGCGGCAATAAACCCAATAAAGAAAGAGAAAGAGAGAGAAAGAGAGAGGGTGAAGGGGCGGAGGGGCGACGGGGTCTTTTTTTTACAAGAGTTTATGATCCTATTCCAGCCAGTGGAAACGTTTCCGTTTGACCCCTGACCTGAAACGCCCTAGTCATTGAGTGTAGACCGAGCGCCTCTGAAACAGATACCTTTTCAAGCCCCTATTGCTAGTGTCGATTTTGGTTACGCAATTCTTCCATGCCTCCTCCCACTCGATGCTGTTGGGCGCAATGCCGCTGAAGTGCAACAGAACCTCCCGAATTAGGTGTATTTTGTTACTGTCGAACTGCTGTTTGCCCATCTTGCCGTTCACGTTGCAAAGGATCCTCTCCTCCGGCGTGAAGAGGATCTTCATGAGGTCGCAGGCCAGGTGATCCATCGGCCGCGAGGACGCCCAAGTGGAGATTATGTCTGGACTCGGCAGAAGTTCGGCGTAAGGTAGCTGCTGATACGCGTAAAGCAGCGGCTTGACGTCCGAGAATCCACTTAGCCCGGACAAGCCCGATAAACCGGAAATGTCTTCAGCAGGGCTGTTCCCAGACCCTGCCACACACATCAGCACAGCGCGCTTTAGAGACACGGGCTGCCTTCTCACACACGTGACATTACACGCACAATAAAGAGAAAATGCGAGCGAGCGAGCGAGCCAGCGAGTGTACGTTATAAAAGGCTATAATGAAGGACCGATCACGCATCTTCCATCTCACGTATACGCCGCTCACGCATGCACGCACGCACATACGCTTGTGCATCGCCGATCGACGCGTGACGTCGGAGTCGACTTCGTTTCTCGAATCAACTTCCCGAATTACGTCCAAGTCGACGTGCGCTCTCGCGAAGCTCAGCGTGTATTACGTAAATTGGAAATCGCGACGATTACCGGCCATAATTTTGTGTGGATTACAGCCGTCACATATGTGTATGCGCAATCGCTTCGCGATTGATAACGAGAACGATCGAATTTTTTGCGAGCGTGCAATGTCTTCGCTATAATTTAACGAGATGTAGAGAAAGAGAGAGAGAAAGAAAGAAAAAGAGAGAGACGATAATTACGTCGCTCTCATTGTCTTCTCGATAGAGTTCTCTTTACTCGCGCACGCAATCTTTCTACCTTTCTCACGGTACCCTTGGCGGCGCAGCAAATAAAGGAAACATGGCCAAACACGCCAAAACGAGCGAAACAGAATATGCGATGAAAGCGAACAGAGGATTCGAAAGAAGCTACGAGCTGCGGTAGCAAAGAAAAAGCTTTGATACCGCCGCAGCGTACCGCTGAACACGCAGAAACTGCGAGTCGGTTTATACAATTTTGCGTGTTGCATTTATGCGTGTGATAGTGAAAACAACGGGTTATCAAGTGATAACTAACTATATACTCGGACATCGAAGAAGAAGCGAAATGCGATGTGGTCTTCGCATTAAATTCAAACTCATTGCTCCGGCAAAATTTTGTATACAAATCGTAACTTCTCTCCCACGTGTCTTTGACGAACTTAACTTAAAATCACGCATCTTCTCTCAATTTCAAATTGATAGACATTCCCCGATAAATATTTTAAAATCCCTTTATTCCACAAGAAACTTTGGCGCAATACTAAAGCTGAATTATCAAAATTTTCAATATTGAAAGTTAAAAATTACAGTAAATGTTGATCCTGGTTTAAATTAAAGAAATAAACATCTTCGCATATCTGTAGGAAGACATAACTTATAAAACGTGCGGCGTATTACGTATATTTTGTGTGTGTGTATTTACATGCTTGTACAAAACATAATATACCGATTTAACGGAGTTGCATTTACCAAAACATTGAGACACCAGCGATAATATGGCAATGAAAATGCAAAGGAAACTGAATGTCGTCTAGTTTCGCTAAAAAATATACAATTGTCCAACGCAAGGGACGCATTGAGCGTACACACGAATACGCAAAAGTAAATAGAACAGTCTATTTACACGCCAAGTAAGGCACATTTGCGCGCAATTTTAAACGAAAGAGGAACCAATCAATCTGACACTAACCTTGATTCCCATCCGACTGTCCCGTGTCTAACCTCTCCGCTGCATCCTTATCTAACGGAGATCGTCTCTGAATGTCTTCCACAGCCAGTTCCAATGGTTCTATCTGAAATGCACTTGGATTGAATGCTACGTTTCACACACACGTGCATTTAACATGCGACTGTGACTGTTTTGTCAATATTATCTAATATATTTCTATTACTCCCAGAACTAACTTTCATCTCCAGACGATGATACACTGGATTGGGCAATGTCTCAGGCAACGTGTACTCCCCGTCTTTCCCGCTCTGATCACTCGCCGCGGACTCATTTGTATTCTCCGACTGCGATATTCTAGGCGTTAGTGCTTTCTCCAAAATAGAATTGCTCTGCTGCTTGCTGACTTTCTGCTTCTTCTTAGGTGTCTCCTCTTTAATCAGCGGTGCATCTTCAGCCACAGCCTGCTCTAATTCAGCTAGTCTTTTGTACGACTCCTTTGCAAAGATGTCTCCACCGGACAGACCCCGAATTTGTAATGTTTCTGCAGCTTTCAAAAGTGCAGGTAAGTTCTTCTGCTCGATATTCACCTCTCCTTTGTATATAAATATAAGTAGTGCCTCCAATTCGCTAAAATGTACATCTTGAAGTATTATAACTGGATGCTGACATGGGTTTGTCTAGAAAAGAGAAAAATAAGATTGTTAAGCTATAATTTTACATTGCATATTATTACATAAATTATTAATCTATATTATTCATTTTTAAGGCAATTTTATTTTATATTATTTCATTACAAAAGCTATTTTTCTAAAAATCATTATTTTAAAAATATAATAATATTATACAAAATAATATTTAATTGATAAAATGGGTAACATTGATAAAATGCACAAAATATTTACATTATATATTGATATACAAATATTCAAATATATTTATTAGCTATAGATTAATAAGATATGTTTAAATCATTTTTATAATACTATTATGTATAATATAAATGCTAGTATATATCACTCATAGGTGTAAGAGTTAAATTATCCTTTCTGTTATGTATATAAAAAATAAAGGATATATTTTCTGCTTAAATTAGCAGACAAACGATGAGAATTGTTATCATTTTTATATTGGAGAGGTAATATATAAATAAAATTTGTGTTGTTTTTGACATCAGAATGAATTTAACAATAAATATAAATCTCTATTATTTTTCTAAGAGCTTCAAAACTCTATGTCACAAACACACCGTTTCGCAGCAAGAATTGAGGTAAACGCGAGAGTAGTCCCGATTAGAAAATCGGAAAGCCAATTAGCCGATAATTGTGGTCAATAATCGCCTGGTTTAGCCCGAAATCGAGCACGACAATCTGTCTCTAACCTCGACGCGAGAGCGCTCGGCTAGTTACGCGACAGCTGTCAAACGCGTTGTGTACATACGTTTCGCTGAGGCGTGACGCGCGCGAGTACCACCAGAACCACGAAGTGGACAGTAGGACGAGCTCGGACGAGCAGGACGAGCCATCGTCAAGCCGAGGACTCGTCCACGACAGTCGTTCAACGACAAACACGACCTTGACCTGGCCTCACCTGGAAGACCTTCTTGAAGAAGGGACTGCTGGCCGAGAGTATCACCTTGTGCGCCGTAAGACACTGTCCGTCACTGGCGAGAGTCACGTCCACCAGACCCTCTTCCTCCCACAGACTCTCGAAGCTGGTCGCGATATTGCTGAGAAAACTGTTCCACTTTAGGCATATTTGACTTGACATGTCGCGCGGGATAGTGCAGCAGGCACGGCGCGGCACGGCACGGCTCGGCACGCTCGTACTGTGTCGAGGTAGACGCTATCGCACCGTGATGTCGCGCGGTGAACGCGAGCCTTGCCTTCTCACGCGACGACGGGGACGGCGAGCGCGACAGTGGCACGGCAGTCGTGCCAGGCACGCACAAACATCGTCGGCGGCGGAGTCGGGAGAGGAGGAGTGTCTGTTCTGTTCGTTCCACCTGCACTGCCGTGCACTCGTCGCACTCTTCTTGGTCTGCACCTCTTGGCCGCGCGACGCTGCACTTTCTGTCCTCGGAGCGAAGTAGGGGCATCATGCACGAGAAAAAAAATAAGAATTGAAATTGAAAAGTACTGCGAATCATGCGGTTGAAGGGAATAGATTTTGTACATTTACATTTTAACGAAAAATCTAAAGGTAAAATATGAAAGATGCGACTGAAAGGAACAAATATTGTCGCGGTGAATATATAAATATGGCGGTAAATATGGCGATTTGTAAATGATTTCACTTCAGCTGCTCTCTCTATATGTTTTATTGCAATTTTGCTTTCTTTTTTTCATTTCCGACAAACTTCAAGTAATCTATTTAATTTTAAGTGCAGTAGGTGCAACGGAGCAAAGGTGAATGTTCGCGCGCGAATTTTGAACGGCGTGGAACACTTAGTGGCGTTCAAACCTGTGTTCCATCGAGCGAAACCACGATATCGATGCATTAACGTTCTGTACATAACGATAATGAAATAAACTTACACACATAAACAAGATATGTTTCAGCCAAGTCCAAATTCAAGCCTTACTCTGCGTTCTATATAAATATTTTCTATGTAAACATGTTTGCGTTTTAGTCCCCTACGTATTAATAATGATAAAATAAAAAATAATATATGCATATATATATATATATATATATATATATATATATATATCTATTTTAATAATTATTACTATTGTGTAATATATATGCATATACACATGCATATATATTACACAATAGTAATAATTATTAAAATAGACATATCGCCTTCATATTTTAACAATTGTTACTGCTGTCTTCAATTGGCATATCCAAATAAATTGTCGACAAGCTATTAAAGATTTACAATCCCGATTGAAATTGTGCGACCAGATCATATATTTCGAAATGTTAATCCTAGAACGGCTAACGCAATCCAATGGACTCCAAAACCATGTTTAAGCTCTCGTTAACCTTTTCACGTTAATTTAGTTTGGTGAACTAAACGAAGTAGCGAAAGTTTAGAAGTGAGAAGGAGTGGAAAAGTTATACAAAGAAAGTAACATCAAAGATCGTCGGGAGTCTCGAGGAGTTTTTGAACCTCGAGGAGTTGCAATCTTTTCTAAGATTATCTTTTTACATCAGAAACTCAATTATTGGTTAAGTACTACTTTCATTAATTCTTTAGTTAGGAAAGGTATTTCTGTGCTAATCGTCATGCTTACATATTTATTAATATGTACGAATTGCATATATATAAAATATTCAGTATAACGGTCCCACATAATTTTTCTAACGTTTCTGACATATTAATAAGAATGTATGTATATATATGTATGCCTCTTTTGTAGTTAAAGAATTAAAAATATAGGACCTAACCAGTTAAATTTCTAATATGAAAAAATAATCTTAGAAAAGATTTTAACTCCTCAGGGCTCATAAAAGACCCCAATGATCGTTAATACGCAGTCGATTTCTTGGCTGTTTTAAGATTAATCTCGTTTTCTTCATCTTTAAAGAGAGTTTATTCTAATATTCAATGGAAAAGAAACAATATTAAAATTTGACATTATTACGTACTAATATGCAAATTAATATATACGTATTAATATGCAATCCACGTTTAATTTTTCAAAAGTGGGAGAAAATAATATTGAGGTCTTAATCAAATGTATAACTTCATATTCGCTTACGAGAGAACGTTATATATCCTAAGAAAGCCACGCGGACGGTGTTGGATCGAAAGGCAAAATCGCTCCACGACGCGGCAGACTTACATTAAACAAGGCGAAGCCAAGTGTGCATGCGTGCGTGCTTACGTGCGTGCTCGCGTGCGTACGTTCAACCGTGCGGCCGACAACAACAATTCCCGCGTGCGTGGCCCGCGTGCGTGCATGCGTGCGTGCCTGCTCGCGTGCATGCATGCTTGCGTGCGTCCGTGTCCATAACAGAGTTCCATAATCGTTAAGGTTCCACCGGGTTCTACCATGCCTTGCTTCACGTCCCAAGCGTGGTTACACGAAAACAGAACGAAAACTTTAGCAACGTTTCGACGCGTTTATTTCATCGCACTCGAAGAAATAATTCGTCGAATCGACTAATCATTTCTTCGAATTTTTTCCAATGGATATTGCAAAAACCGAATTATTGTCTGGATTTTGCAAGAAAATATAATATATACTATTATATTAATAATATTATATCCACTTATACAGATATTTGTGCCTTTTTAATTTACTATGTACATGAATATCTTTCTCAGAAATATTATTATATTAAAAAAATTGAAAATAGTTATTAAAGTGTATTTTTTTCATTTGATATATAGTATCGCAAAACCACTAATATTTTTTTACACTCTAATAACTTTATCTTTATTTATTTCTTTTTAACTTGAAATCTCCTCTTCACATTTTCTTCCTAATCTTCCACACCATTCGTACAATATACGCCTGCTCGTTCAATCTCACTGCTAATACACGCGCCTACTTCTCTCTTTGCTCACAGCAAAATTCTCTTTTTTTATTCTATCTCAACCTAATTTCCACGCTAGTCTTTTACTTTTACGTTTTATTCTACTTGCGACCTTTTCGTTTCGCTTTACCTTTTTTGCTTCTATAATCTCGTTCTATTAATTATATCACTTATTTACATTCTTTAGATAACTTCTATTGTTTACTCTTACATTTTGGCTATATCCTAACCTCATCAAAATTGATGTCTGTTTTGTGCGAAACAATTTTTACATTTGTTCTGCGAACCTTGCACTTTTGTACCTGAAAAAATTTATTTTCCTGTCAATAACTTCTCAAAAATATCACTTATTTTGAACACTTCATTAACTTTGTGAGCGACTTCTAAATAAAAATATAGTAAAAATATCATTAGTCTTTCTTGATATACACACGTCCTTATTCTTTACATTCTTCTTATTTAGTATAATTGTCTATATCTGTTATTACTACTAAATTAATACCGTATTTTTTTTTCTTGCGGAATAGAATAAATCAGAAAACATAATATTTTTTAACATCTTATAATTTTTTAAAGTTTTACCTTGAGCTGTGAGTCTTTGTTTGATATTTTTTCAGCAATATCGACAATCGGCAATTGAGAATCGATATTTTGAATGGAACATCGATACTGTCTATGTGCGCTCTCTGTCGTGCACCTTCAATATTACTGTAGTTAGTGCTGCCACCAAGTGATAAATTTAAATTCCATAGGATATAACGTATCGTTTGATGTTTTTCACCTGTTGCTGTCTATTTTTCGTGTGACAATTGAACTTGTTTTCTTCTAATATGACTGATAATAATGACATTTTCATGCAAAATGGAAAAGGTGAGGACATTAGCGATTTGCACATGTATATCTTTATTATTATATGTAATTGCTAGTGAATATACGTCGCGTATATCTTTCTGTAGAGAGCTAGCTATAATTTACATAAATGTATGTATCTATACACGTATTATTACAGTTTTGCACGTGTATATGTGTGTATACAATGATATATGTTTAATTCTTAAGATATTTAGAAATAGTATGGGTGGCAACGTATGCAAAAAAATATCTCTGTTGGCATGATAAAGATAATTTAAATGTGCTATATTAGTATAGATGATATCTTGTTAAACATAAGCTTTCAAGTGACTATAAATACATGTATTAAAGGAGAAGACAGAAAATCTGCTGAAGAAATGGATGTATTACGTCAAAAAATGTTAGCATATGAATATCTCTGTCATCTGGAAGAAGCTAAAAAGTAATATAAACTATATTTTTATGTCTACCTAAGTATAGGAATATTTATATTGACATTTATGAAAATCTCCTTCTGTAGATGGATGGAAGCTTGTCTCAGAGAATCATTACCTCCGACAACAGAGTTGGAAGAGAATCTACGCAATGGAATATACTTAGCAAAACTTGGCCATTTTATAGCACCTGATATCCTGCCACTGAATAAGATCTATGATTCTGAGCAGCGTAGATACAAAATTGTAGGATTACAATTTCGTCATACGGATAATATAAACCATTTTTTAAGATGTTTGAAATGCATGCAACTACCGTTGGTATGTACTTATAAAATATAATTTTCTTATAGTAAGGGAACATGTCAGGCATTCTTATTGTTAAAAAATTAATATATTGATTTTTATGTTTATAGATATTTCAACCAGAAACAACAGATATATATGACAAGAAGAACATGCCACGAGTAATATATTGTATCCACGCTCTTAGTACACATTTATTTAAATTGGGGAGAGCACCACAGATACAAGATTTATATGGAAAAATAAATTTCACAGGTTTGTATTTTGTTTATTGCATCATATCTGCTATATTAAGATATCGTAACATATTAATTCAAATGCCTTTTTTAGAAGAAATATTAAATATATATTGCTGTATTTTTATACTATATTATCTCATGTATTTCCTTCAGATGAAGAAATTGACACTGTTAGTAAAGAACTACGAAAATATGGTATCCAAATGCCTGCTTTCCAAAAAATAGGAGGTTTATTAACTAACAATATCGCTACTGACACTGCTACTCTTCATGCTGCTGTAATTGCAGTTAATCAAGCTGTGGTGAAGAAAGTAAGCACGTTTTTTTTATCTAGTTTATCAAACAAATGTTGCAATTATTGATAATAAAAATGTTTACAGGATAACATAATGATATTACAAACGCTTCAATGTAAAGCAGCGCAATTGAATAACATTGTCCCTGCTTATATTGAAAAATACACGAAGACATTGTCAGAAGCTAAAGCTAAAAAGGTAGAGGCGGCGCTTAACAGGGTATATATTTATAATTATGTGGTTTTATTATTTTGAATTTTTTACATTTAATATACGACAATTAATAGCTTATTTTTTAATTTATATCATGCTCAGTCTCTCAATGACAGTTATGAACCAGATGCATATGATGAATTATTAACACAAGTTGAAATACAAGGACACATTAATTATGTGAATGGTAAGTATAAAATATATTTTTTGATATTATAAATGTATAACAAAAATATTTGATCTAGTTTGTTGTTATAATAAAATATATTTCAGCTTATTGTGCACTGAAAACTATAATTTCATCTGCATATTGTGAAGATAATAAATTAATACCTGCTCTAATGGCACAAACATTATCTCTTAAGGTACAACATAAGGAATATTATTTAAAACATAAGAATTATTTATTACAGATCTTTTGTTATACTATTAATATTACAAATATTGTTCCTCACAGAATATAATTCCTGAAAATGCTGAAATGTACAATGGAGAATTGTGGCAACTATTTGAAAATGTCGAATGGCACGATATAGCTTCCAAAAACATTCACTACTGGCAAAAACTACTTCAGAACTCCATTGACAGAGTAAATGAGATAGCATTGCAACATCACGAACGTTAGTATCACTCAATGCGATTTCTGTTGAACAATTGTCAAGAAATATCGAACATAATATCGATACAATAATAATACAATAATAAGATATAACATAATAAGATTTATTACAGGAAAAGAAACTGTGGAACGTTTAAATATGGTTTTACTTCAAGATTCGGATGAAGAGAAATTTTACGAAATTTTGCGAAGTCCTTGTTTGGGAATTTCTCATCAGATCGATGAATTCGCAGTCCCATTATATCACCAAGAGATGAAAGAGGATCGTCTTGAATCGGAGGTAAAATGAAAATTTACTAATATAACATACTCGAGAAACAAAATCAATGCATTTTTCTGCAGGATAATATTACATACAATGACATAGTAGTCAGCGTAACTGTGTTAACCACTATCGCATCCATTTCCAAAGCAGTAGACACGGGAAATCCAGATCTCGTGTATGAAAAATTATCGAGCGCCGAAGCACGCATATTCGTAAGTATAACGGTAATTTACGATTATTTACAAGAATAGAAACGAACTGTTTTAACATAGCATTGGAACCCACACACATAGGAGCTAGATGAAGAGAATAAAGCAAAGTATACCTGTGCACTGACGAATGTTCGGCATGAAAAGCAACTAAATGGCTTAAAATGCACTTTATTAACTTACAGTGATATTCAAATATGCGTAGATTCGGTAAATGCACAATGCATTAAGAACTCTGAAGGTATAACAAAAGAATTAAACAGATTGTGATTACGTATATATGTCATGTAATATTACATTAATATTGATAATTTGTTTAAACAGTTATAGAAGTTTTACAACGATTAAATCGGGCCGTGATCGAGAACGATTATGATAGTTTGACGGAAGCTTTTGAAACGATATGTATGAAACTTGATATACACATGTCTTCATACGACATGTCACTTTACTTAAAGCTATTCAAGGAGCGTTTAATTGAGAAACAATTTGATGGATCTGAATTATGGCTAGATGATGTTGAAACCATAGCGGAGATGGTTAAGTCAGAAAGCATGAAAGTCGAAGACAGTACGTTCACAAATGCATATTTACCACAGTCATTATTTTAAGCTAGAATTTGTTATGATAAATATACATTTTTTATTTATTATTTTTACGTGTTTTATTTTATTTTTGATTACAGTGATTACATTTTTGAGTGATATTAATGAGGCTGTGAAACGGGATAACATGTTAGATGTGATTGATTGCCTTCAAATAGTCGGTTGTACACTTAATGAAGCATGTCATGAGGAATGTTATCAGGCATTGCGGCAGTTACAAAAGCGAAAGGTAACAATTCTTATAAAGAATATACAGTATACAATGCGCGGTACAGTTTCTGCATTCTAAAAAAAATTGTCTATTTCTTTTCAAACTTATACGTATTATTTAATCATCTAATTATAGTTATTTATTTAACTATCATTGCAGCGAGAAATCTACAGTTCCCCGTACGTTTTATACATCACTGATAACGGAAATGAAGCATATATCGACGTGGAGAAAAACGTATATACGTGGGATCGACCGACAGATATCATGGAATCTTACTATATCACCAGAGAAGATGTAAAAGTATGTATTTTTCTCTGAGAAATTATATCAAGGAGTATGTATTCTTATTCTTCAAAAAAATACATATTACTTACGTTATCTTTATTCTATACGTTTGTAGGAAATAATTAAATCCATCGACGTTGCATCGAAGAAACGTCAGAAGTGGCACGAAAATAGGATATTGGAAGAAATCATAACCAGATTTCAGGCTTGTATCCGGGGATATCTGCTACGTAAAAAAATTCACGAAATACGTTCTCAGTTCAAAAAGAATTTAAAGAAAGTTGTCATGATACAAGCATGGTGGAGAGGCGTTATGCAACGTAAACGATATCTCAAGTTTTTAGAAAGAAAATGGCAAGATGCAACATTGCATGAGCACAAATCATTAAACGCGAAAACAATGAATAGTTATGATATATTAAGCCTATATAAGAACAAAGTAAGTTTTGAATTTAACTTTTGACTAAATATTCTAATTATTGCTCCATTTATTAATACACTACAATTATTCTTATCTTGTCCCGCAATTAGCAAGACATCAGGCGCATAATAAAGATACAAGCTTTGTGGCGTGGCCGAATATCAAGGAAAGCCTTTCATTCGTTACTGTACTCGGAAAAACCATCATTTGCTGTGGTCAGACACTTTTCAACGGTGTTAGGCTTCAATGCGGAAGATTACGATAAGGATTTAGAGCTACAAGTACGATGACTTATTTCATATTAATATACAGAGGTTTCTATGCACTCGAGTTCTGTTTACAGCCGTTTGTTTCAGAAATTAAAGCTCGACGTTGTGCAAGGTATTAAACACAATCAGAATTTGTCGCAACAGCTGGATAGCATGTACGTCAAAATAGGATTGTTGATCCAGAACAGAATAGCGCTACAGGTATCTCCCGAAGTTTGACATCTCATGCATTTAAATTGAAATTTTATTGGAACGTGTATTATTTTTACTTGCAGGATGTAGTAGCGCATAGTAAGAATTTGGATACTCTTGCAAAGGAGAAAAATACAACTGAGGACCAAGTAATTACCAACGACAACATTATGACGAAAGCGCACAAAGGTCTCAGATCACTAACGAAAGAGAGTCGTAAGATTCTGGAAGGATATCAGCATTTATTTTACGCCTTGCAAACAAATCCGCAATATCTTTCCAAATTATTGCATTTGCCTCCTCAGGGCAAGACAAACAAATTATTTCTGAAAAATGTAATCTTGACGTTATTCAATTTCGGTTCGAACACGCGAGAAGACTACCTGTTGCTGAAGCTCTTCGGTAGCGCTCTGAGAGAAGAGATTAGATGCAATTGTGACAAACCTTCGGATGTTTTGACCGGCAAACCGCTTGTACGCGAAATGGTGGTGAGTTATGCGAAACAATTGAGCGGTCAGGGATTATTGAAGCAAGTCGTGGGACCATTGATTGAAAAAGTCTTGGGAGACAAGACTCTGTATCTCGAGACGAATCCATCGGATATATATAAGTTGTGGCGGAATCAACTGGAAATGGAATCTGGTCAAATTCAAGACATGCCTCAGACGGTGTCTCGAGAGAGCGCATTGTGTTTCCCTCACGTGGTCAAAGTGTTGAACAAAACAATAAATGACCTGAAAAATATCTCTCTCGAGTTTCTGAATAAGATAACGGAATCTCGCGATTGGATACCATACGGAATGCTTTATATGGCAAAAGTTCTGTACGACTCGTTAACAGAGAAGTTCCCGCATGCTCCCGAGAAGGATATTTTGAAGGCCGTTGGCAATTTGATTTATTATCACTTCATCAATGCCGCAATCGTAGCGCCCGACACCTTTGACATCGTGTCGTTGCCGGTCGACAAATCGTTGTCTAGCAATCAGAGGCGGAATCTGGCCACGATTGCCAAGATTTTGCAGTTTGCCTCCACGAAGAAGGGTTTCGGCGACGAGTCACCGCATTTGGGATGCCTTAATCAGTTCATAATCGAATGCCACGAACAGTTCAAAAGTTTTTTCCGATACTGTTGTCAGGTAGAGGATCTCGAGGAGCACTTCAATATCCACGAATATACGGAAGCTACGCTCATACAAAAGCCGGAAATATGTATATCTTTGCAAGTAAGTGATTATATCAATTGTATGAATGCTCAACAATGGTAAAACTAATACACACTCAGTTTAATTGATCAATTTGAACGGTTCGTAGGAATTATGTGACATACATAATTTGGTGCTGAATTATCAGGATGAAATAGCGCCTGATCAGTCTGACACTTTGCATGACTTGTTGGAAGATTTAGGTCCGGCGCCGAGTGTAGCATCGTTACTCGGAATATGTGAGTTAAGCTAAAGTTATTAAAGTTATAAGTCGACGACGTATAATATTATATACGATATTTATTGTTAATATCGGTTTTCCTTCACAGCTCAATCGACGTACGAAACAAACTTCCCACGATATTGCAAGACCGAGGTGTGTTTGGTGTTGACTAATAAGTACCAAATACCGCGACACGACGATGCGAATCTGAGCAATCTCTTTATACAAGCGAAAGAGTTGCTCGTTTCGGTTCTTCCGTTTTTAAAGAGGCAGACTTTGGTGGAATCTTTGGAGACCACTTGTTCTCCGATGTATGTGAAGCTGTACGATCATGAACACTCGATGGCAATGCCAACACTACACGTTATTCGCGAGAGGTGAGACTTCAAATTTCTTAGGCAACCTTTGTGTCACCGACACTTCATGCATCTGTTAAATCTTTTGCAAATTATTAATACATCATGAAATCTTCACAACAGCTCTTCTATAAATGACTGCAAGTTGCAATTGCGTTCATATCTGCACAAACTCGAACTCGAAGGATGGGTGAATCGTGCGGATGGTTATCAAACGATTGTGACTGCTATAGCGAAGGATATTTGCAACAAGAAGAAGTATCGAGTTATGAGAGATAAAGAGTTGCAGACGTTGCGTGCGACCAAAGAACGACTAGAGGAGAAAACGAAGTATTACGAGGAGCAAGTTAAATTTTACAATCAGTATATACAACGTTGTCTCGAAAATTTACACACCGGAAAAGGGTATGTTATTTCACATCAGTTTTCTTTAACAGATTTCCGTTTTAAGTGAAATTCAAAATGTGATTACACATTTTCAAAATAATTTATTAATCACTGTTAACTTCGATACATCATGTAGGAAGAAGTTTTTTCATTTAAAAATTTTTATTTAACTCGTACTCTAAAGATAATCATTATAATTCTTCACAGTTCACGTCGCGCGTATCAAGCACTGCAGAAAGATACGCATGGCAAACTGAGATCAAAGATGACGTTGAAGTATTCCGCCTGGAAGTTGCAAGAGAAGGGTGTGCTAGTGGAGGTGGACGGATTGACACAAACGGAGTTAAGAAATGTCATTTTCGAGATCAGTCCGACGGAGCATAGCGGTCTCTTCGCCGTGAACTGTCGATTTATGGGCCTCGAGATGGAAAAGCTCGATATCAACATACAAGAGTTGCTACAACTGCAATACGAGGGCGCATCCATCATGAATATGTTCGGCAGAGCGAAGGTCAACGTGAACTTACTTCTGCATCTCCTCAATCGGAAGTTTTATGGAAAGACCTGAACGTGATCTCGCGCAAAGGCGCGTATCGGCAGAGGTTGAGAAAGTAAGTTTATGGACGAAAATGAAGTTGGTTTCATATTGTAACGCGTATCCTCTACGTGCAATTTATTGCTAGCCGAACGCGCTAGAACAGGCACATGGTCACGGCGTTTCGTCGCTATGACAAATTTGATGAGTAATTCGTGTTCAGTACTTCCATACATCGAGAATGTAAAACTCGATATAAACTGTAATATACTAAATATGTAATATGCAAGGTGCGACAGAGATTTCTGATTTTTCATTTCATCATCTACTGATATGCTCTAGTAGTCTTCTTTCGATTATTTTAGATATCACTGAAAGGAACAAATAGGGTTTCAGCATTAAAAATGCATACAAGTAATAGAGAGATATTCCACACTAACAATATTTTTACAAAGTTATTAACAAGTGAGCCTCTGTAGAAGCTAATTTTATTCTGTTAAACTCCATTGTTTTGTATATTTTTTAACTTTAGAAAGTTTAAAAATTTATGCATTTTCTAGCATTAAGAAATTGCATACTAAAATCAAGGAATTAGTGAAAAGTGTAGTTTGACTTCTGTTAGAGGCTTATTCGTTAGTAATTTATATATTATTAATAAGAAATATCTCTTGTTCTTGTTTTTTTTTATTAGTTCTTTACAAATTACAGTTCTGTGTTCTCACCTGTTTCTTTATGCTGTAATTAAGATAATTGGAACAAGATAAAGACATATTTCGTGTATTTTACACGACATAATTTGTCGATGAACATTATTATTATGCAGATTAACCTTAAAAGAAGCATTTTATGAAATCTCGTGAACTTTTGTACCCTAATATATATGTTAACGATATGTTAATTCATTTACAGCAATCCGTCTAGTCTAAGTCTAGGTGTAACATGCGTCCAGATGTAATATACATTGTAAATAATCGTATTTGTGAAAAATTGAAAGTATTATTATGCAAAAAGTATTGGTACTGGTCAACATCATGTATAAGTAATGTTTCTGTGTATTTATCCGCTACGTGACTATGAATTAGAATATACAGATATCATGATGTAGACTTAAAATATTAAGTATAAAGTACTTTTAATATTTTTTACTTTTATTTGTGACATTGTAATATACTATCTTAACGATGAAGAGAATAATAAAATATATATGCTTTTATTGCAAATTTAATATATTTTATATTTTAATATTAAAACATATGAGATAAAACATGTTTCTAAGGGGTACCTTAAACCCGTTATTTCTTAAAATTAGTTCCAAAGTCTCCATTACGAACCGCCACTTTTTTTAATGAGAAATTGAGGTAGTGATAGCTATAAATAGCATCTGTATTGATCAATTTACTTACAGAAATAACGGGTCTCTAACGTACTCCTTAGACCCGTTATTTCTTAAAATTAGTTCCAAAGTCTCCGCTATAAGTCGCCACTTTCTTTGACGAGGAATCGAGGTTACAAACAACTGGCTAATGGGACATAGGAGCTGCCCAGCTGCCCTTGGCCAGTTTAACAAGAAGAAGAGGAATCGAGGTAATGATGGCTGCTGCATCAACATTGAACTTGGATAATAATTCTACTAAAAATGGAGAAAATACAGAAATGGACCAGCAACTTAAAGATAGAGCTGAAAGAAATCGCCAAAGAGCAATGTTATTAAAAAAGTCAAAGATTGTAACACATCCATATGCAAATAGGTAATCATCCAAGTATATATATAAAAGAATTTGAAAGATACTTTGTTATAATTAATAATATACTATGCTTGATTATTATAGCGACTCAACAAATAAAAGATTATTAAAAGTACAAGGGCAGCATGTTATTGACAGTGGTGGAGGCTTTTTAATAGAAGAAAACGATGATCTGGAACAGCAAATGGTATGTCAATATATATATATATCAATATATATATTATTTCATAATAGTTTTGAAAATATTTACTATAACTCTTGTTTAATTAGCTCAAAATAAGAACAGAACCAGAACCTGTACTTGGTAAATTCAATGATTGTGAAGAATGTCAACAAAAGTTTGGTGATTCATATCTTTTACGTACGTTCAATCTTTCAGTCTGTGATGAATGCAGGTATGATTAATATTGTTTAAGATAAACTATTTTATTTAACAATAATGAAGAATTTGTCAGCATAATGAAGAATTATGATTATCAAACTACCATTTTTTGTCTATCTAGAGATAAGGAAGGAAAACATTCTCTGATTACCAAAACAGAGGCCAAACAAGAATATTTATTAAAAGATTGTGATCTTGACAAACGGGAGCCTATGCTGAAATACATTGTCCGGAAAAATCCCCACAATGCTAACTGGGGTGAGATGAAATTGTACTTACATTTGCAGATCGAGCAGAGGGCCTTAGAAGTATGGGGTTCAGAAGAAAATTTGTTAAAAGAAAAAGAAATGCGTGATATTAAGCGAGAAGGAGCAAAAATCAAGAAATTTAATAAAAAGGTATGTTAACTGATTATATTTTTTGTATATTGATAAATTATATCCTGGTAAAGTCGTCGAAACTAGATTCTCATGTTTCACTATCATGCAGATGAAAGAGCTGCGTATGCAAGTAAGGAGTTCCTTATATGATAAAACAACTAAGGCTTCACACGTTCATGAATTTGGAAAGGACACTTATAATGAAAAGGACGATACATACACACACACTTGTAAAACTTGCGGTTATGAAGAAACGTACGAAAAGATGTAATAATACATGTTACTATAAATATTTGCAGCAGTATGAATTATATATAGCAAACATCTCGTAATTAGTAAATATCGTGTTTTATACAAAAATATACAATTTTTTCTGGAAAATTTGCAAAGAAATTTAATAGCGCGTGAATATTATCACGACACTATGAACGATATATTTGTTTATTTTATAAAAGCCAAATATATCAACTTTACAACTCACCAGTTTTATCTCTTATTAGTGCTGTACACGAAATATTTTTACTGTGATACCTATTTTGTATATCTGTTATGTAATTTGATAAAATTGTTAATGTATTATAATAATACTGAGGTGATTTTATCAGAAGAGAGACTGAAGTTTGCGCACTTAGGCATAATACAATATACAATGATAAAAATACATGTATATGTTGCGTTATTTTCTATATCAATATAAAAATTACACTACAAGAAGAGGAATATATACATATATATCTGTAAATAAAACTTTCTATTCTTTCTAATATATTATTTTATTATTTCCTTATTTCTTTATTTACATTTTTTGGATTTCTAACAACTTTCAATTTTTTTATTTGTGTCTTATACTTCTTTTCTCTATTTTTGTTTATTAACGTGATACTTACATTGGAACAACATAATTATTTTATATTTATTTTTCAGTACATACACTATTTTTCTCCATTATTAAAATGTAGTTCATAAAGCAAGAGAAATTTCATAATTATGCTCTCCAATAAAATATGTCTGCATATTTCTCTATCATTTTATTAAATACATTTTAATATTTGGAAGACTTTATAAACAATAATTGTGATATTATATGGAAAATTAGTACATGTGGATCATGATCTTTAATCGTTATTTCCTTTGCAAGCATTTCATTTTTTTACATTTAAAGTACCATTATTACATTTGATGATTGGGTAATAATTATATTTAATTTGTTTTTATCCAAACATATGCGGATGTTAAAAAAATGTGACATTATCTTAGATTATGTTAAATACAAACTTAAAACTCCTTGCATTTTACCGCGGCAAGTTGAATTTGTGACGTCAAAAGCGAGGAACGACATACTGATGAAAGTTGCCATTGCATGTGTGCTATTTCTAAATAAATATGAACGAAAAAACACTTGAAACTAAGTATTATTTATAAAATTGTCCGAAAGGTATCCTTTTTCTCTGACGGTTAATAAATAGTCTTATAGTAAATGAAAGTCTTATAATAAATTAAATAAAGCGTGTGTGCAGACAAGACACTTATTTCACGTGTCCCACTTCATCACTTATTATACGACTATTTATCATTTATCAAAGGAAAAGGATATCTTTCGGATAATTTTACAAGTGTACTCAAACAATCTCAAATTCAATTTCTTTCGTTTATATTTATTTTTATTAAAAAATGGTACGCAAACCGACTTCCGTCGGTATGTCACTCCTTGCTTCTGTTGTCACAAACCCGACATGGCCGGCGAGGTATAAAGGAACCTTAAGACTCCTAAACATATATCGTTCATCTCTTTTTAATAACATCAGAAGCGAGAAAATGCATGCGAAAAATTCTTACAAAATACCTTGAAATAAAGAGACAATATAATAAAGCGACACTTGTAAACGATCGATCAAATCTGTAAAATAATCCGAACGTTTTTCTTTTGTTCTAACGATCAGTAATTAACTGTAAACTTACTGTAAATTAACATGATATTTTGTAAGAATATTTAACGTTTTCTTGCTTCTAACGTTATATATTTATTTATATTTATATACATACGGTACATATGAGATAATTTTCATATATATGTCATATGTATGCCCTTACACATATATATACACATTCGACATATGAAAAACAAATTAATACACAATTTTAGTATATGCGACACAAGTGACGCAAATACGAAAAAACAAGCGGTCTATATAACTGAATAAAATATATTAATGTTTCTGCATGTAATCCACACAAAGATTATGCGAAGATGGCACAGTTAGCTTCACACCAGTATTATTATGGACAATGTTCATCGAATTACTAACTGTGACAGATGACCTGCAAACACAAAAAAATATAACCAATTATTCTTTCACTTGGTTAAGACTTGAGTTCAAGATTTGGTTCAAGATTGAGATCTTTTAGTAAATTCGATAAATTGATAAAAAATTGATATATTAAATTATGTTTACAATTAAAAAGTTTTTTAAATCCGCAGTTTTGCAAACTCGAGATTGCAGGATTACTACAAGCTTTTATTTTTAGATCTTTAGATACGGAATTAAGACAGCTTAAGAATAAGCTGTTCGTGCTGACGTGCTCATTAAATGGACAATCTATACATCCGCAATACCAACTGTTCTAACAATATTAGTGAATACAGTTCTTGTTGCAGTAAAGCTCTATGAAAAAAAAATTGTGATATTCAATTATCATACCTGTTATGCCTAAGATGACTCTTCACTAACTGTCCCTCAACTAGCGCAGCCATCAGAGACAGCTCTCCTGCGAGCACAGTGGCGCAAACAATTCGGGCAAGATTGCTGGCGTTCTCACCGGGTTTTGTGGTGTGTGGGCCCTTCACACCCAGCATAGCCAGGCATGCTGCCTGCGCTGGTAAACCTGTACCACCGCCCACTGTGCCGATCTCTAGGCTGGGCATTGTGCAAGACACGTAAAGATCTTTGCCTTCCTCGCCCCAAGGTTCCATCAGCGTCATACAGTTACTGCTACCAACGTTCTGCGCGGGATCCTGTCCAGTGGCAATGTAGATCGCTGTCACGATGTTCGCAGCGTGCGCGTTGAAGCCGCCTATACTACCAGCTACGGCGGAGCCAACCATGTTCTTGATGATGTTTCGGTCAACGAGCGCGTGCACTGATGTTTTCAGCACATTCGTGACGACGTCCGCTGGCACAACCGCTTCGCACACCACGCTCTTGCCTCTACCTTCGATCCAATTGACGGCCGCAGGTTTCTTGTCGGTGCAAAAGTTACCACTGAGCGATACTATCTCCATGTCTGGGAAGTGGGTTTGTACCGTCTGGAGGGACTTTTCGGTGCCCTTTGACAGCATGTTCATGCCCATCGCGTCGCCGGTCTTCGCGACAAAACGTACGAACAGATGTCGGCCGGCCATGCGCACATGAATTCGCGTCAGCCGAGCGTAACGGCTGGTCTGGTCGAAACTGCTCTTCATATCCTTGAAGTTTTGTGGTTGCTCCATCCACGACATAGCCTCGCTCGCCTGGACAATGCTCGGGAATCGCACAACCGGTCCGCGAGTCATACCGTCTGCCACTAAGCGACTTGTCACACCGCACTTCATCAACGCCCGACTGCCGCGGTTGGTAGACGCCACCAGACAGCCCTCAGTAGTCGCCATTGGCACATAATACAGTTTGCCGTCGATTAACAACGGCCCCGCGATTCCGACCGGCATGGGCATATACCCGATTACATTTTCGCAGCATGCACCCAACACCTTACTATAGTCGTAGTCTTTGTACGGTAACTCGGCCATTTCCTCTGTAAAATTCCCAGCGGCGCCGATCACCAAGCGTCTGATCTTAACACCGCGCTCCATGTCGTCTACGGCCTTCTCTAACTGATAGGCAGCTATGTGCTTCTGTTTCACCAACTGGATCACTTCTTGGTCCGTCAACGCGTTAGCTCCAAGCTAAAGAAAAAAATGTCAATATAAAAAAAATATCATTCTATGTAATTAATAAAATATACATAAAAATTAGCAACGATTGATATCATCTTGATTGATATATGCAAATAACTGATAATATATAAAACTGTATCTGCTCTTTTAATTATTCATTCCTTTCATTTTTTTTTATGCGAAATAATTACGCTATTGTTTATTCTTTATTTTAGTTTTAAAAAATAATTATTTTAAAAAATAATAATTATTATAATATAATAATTAAAGGTAATATGTATAAAAAAAATAAGATTAAGAATATTAATAGTAGTTAATGAAATTATTAGTAGTATAAAGAATATTAGTAGTAGTTAATGATGTATGTGAAATAATTATTTTTGTAATTTAAATAAAATCTTCAACTTTATAAAGAACATTGGATTCAACTTGTTTCATTTTTTTTAAACATGTGACAAATTTATTTTATCAAGAAAGTGCATTTTAATTGCTTTTTTATAATTTAGTCATTACGTTAATTTTTCTGATTTAGATTTTTCTCTATTAAAAGAGATAACGTTACATTTTTGTTTTGTCACTATCACATGTAAGATTAATGTCAGAAACGAAAACGTGAACTCTTACCTCAGACTTATATATTTCCAGGCATTCTTCTACACTTCTAGGAACTTCAGATATCTTCGGTGACGAGTTTTCATTGCCTGATTCGTATGCACTGAAGTATTTCGCGTCGGTTTGCACTTCCTTGTCCGAATAGTCCACGTCCTTTTCGTTGTCATCTTCGATCCATCCGCCACCAACTCCAGAGAGCGGGAAAATCGAGGGCTGCTGGATCGACGGTAATGTCTCTCCCCCAAATCGCTGTCGCAAGGACATGTCCATGGCAGCTGTATTCACGTCATACAAGGCGAGGCTATCGAGCTCTGCTTCAGCCTCCTCCGTTTCTACCTCTCCTTTCTTTATTTTCGGCTGTTTCGTAACGTCGTTCCTATCCTCGAAGAAAATGAATTTCACCGACAACGCCAACATAAGAATCAGTATCACAACATTATCCGCGCTAACGGTCAGTAAATTTATCAAGTGTCCGGTCAGTTCGGAGTTCTCAGTCTTGTAAGAGCCATTGGTTACGTCCGATCTTACGGATGCTGTTACTGCTTCCACTGTGTGCTCAGTTTCTTCAGTCTTAAAAGGCCAACGACTGTAACACGTAATATTTATATATAAATATAATTGACACGCTAAATTTATATTAATTATTTACTGCATAATATATACAAGCTACATCTCACATCAACCGCATCATTATTTAATGATAGATTCTCCGAGTAATCGATAGCTGAATTTCTTTTAGCGAAAATATTGAGAGAGATTATTGCTTATCTTAATTTTCCAATTTTTAGCGTTATATACTCTTGTGACCAAATCTTGGACGAAAGTTCTATCAAAATCAACTTCATTCAATTTTAATTTTAAAGAATAAAGTTTTTACATTTATTTGATATCTTACTCAGATATTTAGTTGACGAAAAATTCTTCTTTATTAATTGTTCACAGCTTAAAAAAAGACAACTTTAATCAAAGTATTCATTATTCTAGAATAACACGATTAAAAGTAGATATTTTTTCTCTCTCTCTCTCTCTCTCTCTCTCTCTTATTATTTTATTAATTGTGTAGATGATTTAGACGCGACGGAGATTAAAAGTTACAACGAACATTAATGCAGAAGTTGCCTTACATAAAACGCCACATTATGTATGAAATAATTTATCTGTTTTTTCCTCTTTTTTCTTGCAACCAATAGACGCGATGTAGATCTACCAATATTTTTTCTTAAACTGAACGAACATCCAGAATGATAACCGCCCAGCAGAGAAGGGTCTACGGTATTCGTGTCCCCACTCTGTGACGCCTATTTTCGAACTCTCATTTTACTTTGTATGGGCAGCCGATCTTTTGTACGCATGTTATCATTAACGCGCGTATCTCATGTAATATTAAAACGCATAACACGTTGACATACGTTGACGATTTATTCGGTCTCCCTTCAAAAGTGTAATGCCTAATATATCAAGATATTATAGATTATAATCACAGATGTACAATGAGAATTGAAAGAAAATCGCGCAATTAAATCACACAAGCACGTTATATTTTTATACAGAGCCCAACACAATAGTAATATATAACAACAATTTTCCAGTATATGTGGACATGTTTAAAAATCATAGTAACGTCACAGTAATATTAATGTTAAGACTGTTAAGACTGGTTTCTGTAAATTTTCTCCTTTTCTTGTCAAAGTTCCTCGCTTGTCCGCGCGAGCGTCTGTTCGAATCGCGAAAAGAGCGAAGATGCGACATTTACGCATGTCATGAATTACTTGGGTTCACGGTATTGACAAACCTTTCAAAACGTGAAAATTCCAAGATCTGACTGAATATGGAATGTGCACTATATACGTTTATACCCTACACATCTATACGTATATGCACGGTGATCAAAAGTTGTAATAAATGTTAATGCAGAAACTGCCTTACATAAGACGCCACATTACGTATGAAGCGACATTCATCTGCAGTTTCTCTTTTTTCCTTCAACCGACGCGACGTGAATCTAACAATGTTTTTTCTTAAACTGACAGAACACTCAGGATGATAACCGCTCAACGGAAGAGGGCCCACAGTGTTTGCGTCCCCACTCTGTGACGCCTATTTTCGAACACTCATTTTACTTTGTATGGGCGACCGATCTTTTGATCCACGTTGGAGATAAACCTGACCCTCCAGTATTAGAGAATGGCTACAGAGTAAATAGTCAGCGCAACAGTATTCCTAAGAAAGAGATTTACAGATTTATAGTTTCACTACGTCATCGTTAACGCTGCATATTGTACCGTCTTATGAACTCCTGAGTTCCATGATGATGAAAAATCTTATGTGAGCAGAGATATGATACAGAAAAAATTCGTGCCTCTGTATTGGAACGTACCTGCTGGCGTGCACCACAAATAGGCCGAAAATCATGATCGTTTTGACGCGTTGTACCACGGGGTTCGGCTTTTGGTCCTCTTCGTTCAATAATTGTATTATGAACCTCTTATCCGCGCTCAGTTGTCCCATACTGTTATTTCCGCGAGAGAGCTATAAAAATATCGCCGGAATGATGTCTGTTTTCAGCCGGTGGATACGCGGGTACATTTGATATTTTAAGTAGCAAAATCGTACAAATATGCGAAGCACTTAAAAGTGAGAGAATAAATTCCAAATGTGGAAAGCTTATTAATGTACACAGTATTTTAATTACCTCTAATATAAGCGACAAGCAAGCCGGGTAGAATGTCATGAACACGATATAGTTGACGATGACACCCAAACACGCGAAGGTACACATGACTTCTAGCCTTCTGACGCCCGATAACGATCCTATGCCGATAAGAAGAAACTCCACGATAGTGTCGAGAGTAATACTTGGTCCCAGAAGCGACATGCCGCGTGCTATATTCGCCTTAACTTCTTCCTGACTTCTTGAACTCAGTGCGTACTTCGCTAAAGTGCCAGCCTTTGAAAGGTCGATCAGGAGTAAAAAGAAGAATAAAGCGTCCCTGTAAACAGATGATAGTGTTGCAGTAAGGAAAAAGGCAAAAACGGAGAAAAATATTCTCCGTTTGATAAACAATATCCATATTTATACAGCAAGTATACAGAATGAGTCGTCAATAATATTAAACGGTATTTAAATATTTCTCAAGAAAATTTAGATAAATAAAAGATAGCTTAATATAATCGGTAATCATCGATTGATCGAGAGAAAGCGTACACGATGAAAATTTGAAGAAAAAGAACCAATATTCATTTCTTCAGTTTTTATTTTTATATAGAAAACTTAGAATTTTCAAGAATTCCAAGTAAATATTCCAAAATCCAAAAATTCTCTAAGCTTAACGCCGTTAATTCAGTGGTTATTAGGGAATTAATATTGTATACATTATTTTGCAACGTCTACGTGTTCTAAGACTTCCATAACTGAAAACTGAAGAACTGGACAATGACGCATCTTCTGTCGGATCTATATAATGCCATAATTCTAATGATTCGTTCTTTAGACAGCGATAAAATGGTACCTACTTTAAATCCGAAACATTACTGCGGTCGAAATTCACTAAAGTGCTGGTGAACACTACGCTGGAGAATACGGTAAACAGGCCGGCGATTCCTATAACAGATTTCCATAGTGAGCATAAGATATTAATATCCATGATTCACCAGCGAAACTAGACTAAATTAATGCATCAACAAACTATTATTCATTAATTGATCCTAATTCATTATCGTATCGTTATTGTAACACACGTTACGTTTATATAATGAGATCTTATCGTAAATTAATATCTTAGCGACTATTTGCGTGCGCAACGTCTTTAACGCTACTGGTGCGTACGTTTCGTATAATTAGATATAACGGGTATTCAGTAACCGAATGTAATCGTACGTGTGCGCGCGAGGACGCGATGCTACGTGCTAAGCGCTATCGCTTTCCATGATACTTTCACTGCTGCCAAGGGCTTTCACGCGCCGCTCAAGAAGATCCGGTTTTATGAATGATCCGCGAGCCTGCATAATTATTACACATTTATCTCCGCGCGTAAACTTTTCTGTCTTTAAAACACGCAGAAATCTGCATATACGTACATCAAGATTCAAATATATCGATCATTCTCTATAGATCGGAAACTACTAAAATTTCTCAACCCAGATCCATCCATTTCTACGTAATGGTATGTCATGTCTGTTGATTACTCCAAGAGGCGACTATGTAGCACGACATGTAACTACGTAGAAATGGGTGCGCCTGATTGAAACTCTTTTAGTAACTTCCGGTCTAGAGAATGGCTAAACATATTTGGATTCTGGTGTATGTACACCGCAATTCTTACGAAAGTACTGTGATTAAGAACCTCGGAGATAAATTGATGATAAATATTTATGATAGATATTTCGTTGATGTATATGTAGGACAGTTTTATGCTTACCCAAAACGTATTTAGATCCCATTTTTTGTAGATTGCGAAATAAGTAATAGGTGAACAGTACAGCGAAACAGCGTATGATCGTCATCACTATAATATCCACAGCTTTCTGTTCCTGATAAACGAAAGGCACTTTTCGTGAATTCATTCTATCTGAATTTACAGCAATAATTATATATGCATAATCTAACGAAGAAATGATATTCAACCTTAAAATGATTATATCGAGTACTTTGTTGCTAATACATACTTGTTTGTTCAAATTCGAGATAATGCATATGTATTATTGTTGTCTATTTTCAACATAAAACTGACAGCAAATTTATGAGGTAGCCGCAAAAAGATCGACAGACGTGTGAAAATAATGGGAAATTCGAATTTCACAGATTTCGCTTACATCGTTATCGCATTTGCCGTGACGACAACGCGTAACGTTGATTTGATTTTTGAAATTTCCTTCGCGTAGTATATTGTTTCCTGTCTCCATGTTGAGCATGCATGCCGTCAAAGTGAAGGTCGCCACAATCACCTCTAGAGGATGACCGGCGCAGAATCGTCCATATATCTCGAAAAAGTGTGCCATTGTGTCTTTGCCACACGACAGCGCTATGCAAAATCTGCAACATATAAAAATTTTTCCATCAAGAAACAAATTCATACTCGTTCCAACTCGATTTATATTTCACAACCGTAACGATAATTATAAGCTGATTCTTATTGTTAATATCATTATCATTATTATCACCCACCTTTTTCCATTGAAAATTTCTCAAATTTTACAAACTGACAAGAAATTAAAAAAAAAATAAAATCTTAAAGCATTTTTTTAAATAAAAAAATTTTTTTAAATAAATACACAAATGTATACACATTTATATTTGTCTTATATAAATTTTTCGTGTATTTTACTAATAATAAACTTCGAAATTTATATAAATAATACTAGACGTTTTGTTATATTTGTTTATATTTTGATTTTATGTTTATATTTTGACTTTTTTATCATAGGATATATAATTACTTATCTAATTACTAATTACATGTATAGGATATCTGTCGATGTAATAATCAAACAAAGAACACAAGCGTTCTTTATTTTAAAACACACAGAATGCATGTTTTGATAAAATTATACATTCTTGTAAAATTTTACATAAAACAAAACTTATATTCTTTCATAATTCTTAATACAAAAAGGTCACTGTATGATTAAAGAAACAAAAATATCAAATTGTATAAATAGTTAGAGCCGGCAGGGAGATATACAAGAAGTGATAGTGTTTTTACTACGCTATCTTTTAATGTATATGAAAACATTTTATTTTAAAGGTTATAAAAGTCACTTAAAGCTATCCAGACTAAAGCGATTAAAAAAATAATATATGTCATGTTGAATCAAAGTGTCTGCCGTCGTTATCCGTTATTGACCTTCTACCAACTTGCAAGTAATTCAGATAATTTCTTTTGTGTTAGTAAAATGACTCATCTTTTGAGCAAATAAGATTCGATGCAATCCGACGAATTTCTGCGATATTCCTTATGTCATGAAGAGAAGAAAGTCGCAAACGGCGCGTCTCCTCACCAAAACTGACTTTAATATCTGTTAACGGATCGACAGAAAAATCCGAAAAGAGCCTTGAGAACGACTCACATCCGATTTCTCTCCTCTTTTCGCGAACGTTCGAGAAAAGGACTGAGGATCACGAGACGATACGATTAATATGCGGCATCGTGCCCAAAAATAAAACTCCCTGTTCGGGGAAAGTATCAAGACGTTACGTGACTTTTTGCGCGAGTGTCAACATAGTCGTATTGTCAGTTACGTAACAGTAAGCTGACTCCTATTACCTACTCTGACATTCGATCTCGCGAAATTTGCTTTTTAGACTCTGGCTATGTGTATGCTAAACAACTACTTATGCATGAGTCATGAAAAAGAAAAAGAAAGAAGAAAAAGATCAAGTAAATAATAGAATGACATCCCTATGTTGGAATGGCGTTTAATAGCGAACCAGTCAACACATATGAAATATACGCCAAATTAATTCGGCGAATAGTTCAACGCATAAATAAGTATCCAATATGTCACTTATATAATCTAGTCTCGCAGGCCATATAATTTCATCCGAAAACGTCTGTATGGTTCGCTGTATGATGATTTATCGTAAAAATGACTTATTTGAACTCCTCTGAGGTAATTGGAGTGTTCATGGAGACAGTGTGAGAATTCTTGCCGACAACAACACGCAAAAAAAAACTAGCTTCCGGAGTTAAAAAATAGCAGATAAGATGTGTCATTGAAATAGGGACAGCTAATGTCAATACTACCGAAGTTAAAGTTCATTCCCTGTTTAAACTTAGGTGCTATAGCAAGAAATATTAGCTGCTAGAAATAAATGACTGTAGCAAATGATTGTAGCTGTGCGGCAAACTTCTTTAATATATACATACGATAAGAAATTTAGGAATAATTGCCATTTTCTTAGCTACTTGAAATAATGTGCATTTTTAATGTCACCTAATATAATTGTATTTCATAGCGAATGCATTTCAGTTGTCATAGATAATTTTTAGCAGTGACAGGTAAACGATTAACCTTTTGACTAAGTGAATCAGCTACCGCGGTTTAGCTGATATTACTAAGTCATTTTTTTGCATGCAACATAACATTCTTGTCAATGGCAACAATTTTGAATATGTTGCTACATCGTACTCCCACGAATATGGGAGTTCATCTCGAATAATTGAAACTTATTAATTAGTCGACTATCGAGAACACCTGATAAATCTTCTTTTATGCGAGTATAATCGTTCAGTTCGTAGGATCGATCAATAAATCTTCAGAATATGGTGAACGAGATTTACATCAAGAATCTAGAACGAATGATTTTTATCACTTTTTTTTTAAACACTGATATTATCACGCAGATTGTATCACGTCATTATGTAGCGACAATTCTATTTTCTTAAGCAAATTCTATCTTATGCGTTTGTAATTGAACGCATAATGTTAATAATAAAGCAGTTACCTTGAGGGGGAAAAACAACTAATTCGTCGGCATGTAACTCGAAAGAACGAGATGTCTTGTCAAGGTCGGTGACTTTCCAAGAGTCGAGATACTCGAGGATATTTCTACACCCGACTGACCGTTGTACTCTTCTCACTTTCAACAAGTGCCACCGTTGAAACGTTCTATTATTTCCGAACTATCAATAAGTAGAACATAGAGACAGAGCTTAGAATCGCGGGGACTAAAGCAGAAATAAAATGTAAAGCGCCCAGCAAATAAAGGCGATTAGCTTTATTATCTATTAGAAACTATTAGAGATTAGAGATGAATTAATCTGAATATATTAGCTCCTTATTGAAATAAATTTCGTAACAACGTCTCACGATCGTCTCGATGGGACGTATATCATAACCACTGAAGAAAGTATCGCTTGCAAAATCGCAAATTTCGTCAACGGCAGCTCGACGCCGCCGGCGAAGTGCATTATAATGTAACCGATGATGGAATTGGAACGTTCGCGATGAAGTGCTAATATGAGTTGATTTACGAAAAGAATCATGTAGGAGCTCGTGATATTCGCTGAAAGAGAAGGAAGATCGATCGGATAAATTTATATACTTTTTGGTCATATTCGTATATTATAACAAGAATGTTTGGCTTCATTTTCAGACACATCACGTGAATTTATTTTAAATAATAAGCGACATTGTTATGCGTAATTAACAACTGCACAAACAATTGACGAACAAACAGAGTGTGTCGCGAAGATCGGAATGTCACAATATCGTGATGAAATATTATTATTACAACTGATTGAAGTTATTAATCTTATTATTTGTTCTCGTCGCGTGAAAGTTTCTTAACATATTAATGTCAGTTGATCTAACAGTACAATGATCGTATTGTGAAATAAGTCGATCGATGTGCGAAGCGTCGGAGTGCAAGCAGCATTAAACAGTTACAAATTCGACTGATAACCATGAAAGATACAGCGATATCGTGTCGTATATCGTCGACTATGCGGATCTGCGAATATCGATCGCATCCGAAATGTCTTGCGTTTCAAGCCTCAGAATTGATAAACAAAAGTTTGATGCCTCCAATCGACAGTTATATTCCGCCGAAAATTCAACTTTTGCGAAAATTATTCGGTCGACGCGAGAAAAAACAATATACCGTAAAAAAATAATATATGACACAATAAGCGACAATAAATAATGTGCCATCATTTTTTTAATATCGCGTGAATGTAATGTCATAAATTATTAAAATTACTTGTTTACTGTTATCGATAAATATATTATACATAACAGAAGAATGCTTTATTTGCATTGTTAAACGTCTGGTATTACGAATTATACTGCGCAGAGTGTCTGACAATTCATAATTGGTATAATAGCATGCAGCAATCTTTTTGATAATTAATAGCAAAAAATCTATAGTCATTTGCAATGGACTTTTCTTCAGTTCGACCTAATCTACAAACATACGACGGCAGACATCGCCATCACAACTCATCCACAAAGCACACACTCACACATATATTCACCAGTCTTCTTAAATTAATGACTCAAAACTTTACGTGGCTTTTTGGAAAATTGCGGAGGAAATTTGTGTTTAATTTGATGAGTTCTATCTGCACACACCGCGAGTGTGACATTAATTGTTAAACATTTGTATGTAAATTTCAATAACTCATGTTCAGCATTGCCAAAAATAAATCACATATCGCTTCTTCCAATAAATTGTTGTTATTATTGCTATATTGTAAAAATATATATTACAAAAATATTATAAAGACTAAAAGAAACGATCTAAATAATAAAAATTATAAAAATGATAAATAATAAAAAAATTTTGTTAATCTTCAAAACGATTTAGGTGCCACCAACGTCTTTACACGTCAATTATATCTTAATCTAAATTTAAGACTTTGAAGATAGTTTAAATTCAGATTAAATCGACATTAACATTGGGCATTAATTATTTTACGTCAATAAAAGCGTTATTGATTAACATTATTGATAGATAAATTGTATGAGCTACGATTTCTTTCGATCAAATCGGCAAGACCTTTAGGTAAAAAGATAAGATAATTTACTGCGTAAATTTTCCGCCACTTTTCGTCGACTCTACATGTCGCGCATTCTGAAGGAAATTTTTCAGCTTTTCCACACGGAGATCGCTACTTTCTTTATTCCTCGCGAGCGTCCACCTTTCTCGCATATACACTAAAGGCCTTTGCACAATGCGAGGGAACAGCGATAGCGGTAGAAATAACACAGAAATAGAAATAGCGGTAAGAACAGAGAAATCCAATATTCGGCAATACATATGTCAATGCAGATCGGAACACGGAATAGGCAATAGCGATAAAATTCCCGACAAGTTAGAAATCTATGTCTATCTCCTTATAGTCTACCAATCACAGCGCTCGGATTTTTCATTCTGTTTATACACGCTATATCGCTTTAATCTCTTTTCGCAGCACACATACGATCAAGTTCAGTTTCGAGTCGACTTGTCAACTAGTTTGATTAAAAAATGGATCATTCCAATTATTATAATAAAAATAATTTTCCGGATGATGAATTATTGTCCAACAT